TCTAGGACCAAACCTTGCTGCGGCAACCCCTGGCGAATGCAGGCTTTGTTGCCCTGCAAACGTCTTCTTGGGCTCGGTAAATGGAACACCATCTCCGCCACCGGCAGATGCACCAGCATGCGTGCTGCGTCTCACTGGACATGGCTTGCGGTGCTTGCAGCGCTTTCACGAAAAGCAGGGCTTGCACAGCATGACGTTCCAGAGTCAGGAGGGATGTTGTTTGCTGAACTTCTGCACTGTCTGCATGGTATGAGGTTTACTTTGTTTTGATACACACTTACTACGCTTTGGATTCAAATAATTGCTTTTTGTAAATTAAACAGGGTTGAGACAACAGTTGAGAGAGAGAAGGCAGGTGACTTCAATCAGTTGCTGCATATGTCATATGTTTTTCAGACCCGTTCCTGCAGGCAGAGGCATCTCAGACGCCCGGGGACATGTTGCCACAAGAGCCCCCACTAGATTGCGACTTGAACATGCAGGACCGACTCTCCCTACACTGCACAATTTGTCGTTGAATATGTTTTTGCAGAGATGTGATGCATCATGGTGTGCATAGGAGGATTTTTACCAACTAACAACGCAACTAGTCTTACCACCAGATTTTCCGATCTTCAACTTCATTTTGTCACTTCAATGTTATGTTGATCTAGAACGATTAGAATGTAGCATAACCAGGTGAGGCCTGCATTTTCCTAGAGAGCCACGCTTTGTTCTGTGCTGCCAGCATCAGGACTATAAGGTCCGCGGCCTGGATTGCATGAAGATGTGGCCTTGGATGAGGGATCTGCCCACTTCTGTTTGGGCTGGTCATGGTTGGGCTTTTGATGAGAACGGGCTCCGAAGGCTCTCATCCTCAGGCGGCAGCCATGCCATGCAAGGCGTGGAAGTCTTCGAATCTGTGGGTGTTGCAGCAGAGCAGGTGAAACCTTCAAATGAAAAGATTAGAGACACCCCAATCGCAGTGGCTGCTGAGGAGCATCCCCCGCCACTTGCCGAGGGGCAGAAGCCAAGTCGATTTAAGAGAATCAATGTGGCGAAGCAAAGCGGGATTCCCAATGTCCAGTGGAAGAGTAGCAAGCAAGCCTGGGAGGTTAACTTCGACAAACTTGACTCAAAGGGCAAGATGATTGGCAAAACGGGTCGAGTCTTTTCCGTAAAAAACTTCATGGGCCCCGGCATCTCCGAGGCCCAGGCCGACGCAGCAGCTCTCGAGGCCGCCAAGGCCTTCCGAGCAGAGCTGGTGGAGAAGGGTATCCTCAGCGAGCCCAAGCCGCGGGACCCCAACTTCACCAGCGAAGTGCCGGGGGTGAGGTGGCACAAGAACTGCAAAAAGTGGCGCGTGGAGATCACCGCGAAGGGTGGCAAGAAGAAGATTCAAGGAGGCCTCTTCACTGAGAAGGCGGCGGCCGAGGCCAAGGCCCTAGAGCTCATGGAGAAGGACGGCCTGCAGCGCCGGGTGAAGCCCGTGGCCACCCTGGCAAACAGATACGCCGGACTGCCGGTGTTCCACCCCAAGGTGCCCTACCCACGGGTGATTTGGAGCCAGGCCGAGCAGCAGTGGCATGCATGTTGCAACGTTGGCGGGTCAACCCGAAGTTTCAGGGTGAAGCCCAAGGACCACTCGGAGGCGGAGCTGGAGCGCTCCTTCCAAGTGGCTGTGGCATGGAAGAAGAACCAGGAGAAGGAGAAGGAGAGGAACAGGAAGGCCGTGAAGTCCAAGGTGAAGCCCGGGAGGAAGCAGCGGAAGTGAGTGCAAAAGCCGTAGATGCCAAGGTGCATGGCTCAGTTTCCGACGCTGCGACTGTACAGACAATCCTCACTTCACATGATGCGCAGGAAGAAATCAAGAGTGCTTTTCTTACCATCCATTTGCAATCACAGTGGGAAGATCTTGTTTTGCACACTTGAGCTCAAATCCAAAACCTGCGGTTCGGAGATGGAATAGGCATAGGGATAGGGATGGATAGGGATGGATAGGGATGGATAGGGAAATATACAAATCATGATGAATGCATCCAAAGAGAGGCTAAAATTGACGATCGAATCAGAGAAATTATGTTTTTTTATTTTTAACCACCATTTGTGTCCATCTGTGGGGATTAATACAGTCATCAGAATGATTCCCCATCATGGTGAGATGACCGCACCCCTTTGTTCTCCATGCAGCTTGACCATGGTACAGATGGCCGCCACAGGACGATACCTTCAAGGCCCACACTGACGGCCATGCCTATGGAGATAAGCTCCTCGGGTGGAAAACCTTCGCCATGTTGGTGGGTCTGGGACCTGAGAAGATGGACAATTCCACCAAAAAAGGATATTCTTATGGGCAAATCCATGGAAAAGTGGTATTGGATTTGCATTCAACGCGGGGATATGACGGTATAGCTCAAGACGCTTGACATCCTGTTTGGGATGCTTGAAGAGTGAGGAGCAACCAATTTCGGGTTCAGTGATACCCCGTTTTGAGCCGTGCCCACAGTGCGTGGTAGTGGAAACCTCCTGCAATTGTGAATGATCGCAGAAATTGAAACCATGGAAGTGGTGAACGTCGTTTCAACAGCAGGGAGATCACCAACTCAAGTGGGCCTCTAGGGCGAAACCAGGAGATTTTGGGTGTGGATCACCTTCTCAAGTACCCCTCCAAAAATGGGAGAGTTCATGGCAAGATGGATCCATCCCAGATCCAATCCCATCCTCCAATGCAAACCCTGGTTTGCTACTGAATCCATTCATGAATTGGGGTCCCTTCTTGTGAGTATTTTATCATGATACGGTAGGATATGATTGGCGGAAAGGACTATTCTCAACAGCTTGGATTGACATTGAAAACTCGCGTTCAGCCACAGCTACAGGTTCCCAGACTACTTCTTGCTCCTCTGCGCGCAGGCCTGCGAGGTGTCCTGCCAGGATGTTTCAAGTTTCAACAAAGCCCAGTGTTCAAAAACAAAGACAGGTCACCACATATGTTTGATGATTTGATGGTTTGGTTGAGGGAAAAATCCTCTGATTTTAGAGAGATTAGAGAAGTAATCACCCAAAAATACATCTTCTTGTTGGTGGAAAAAAAAATTGGGTTTAGAATCCTCACCAGTGGCTGGTTTTGTCCACACATTGGTTTACTATGGGAAGTTCCCGCAGTTGCAAGTTGGTCCAAAATCCCACTTGCCCTTATTCACTACAGATGAATCCATTATAAATCCTATAGTTATCAAACATCAAACGTGGCACTTGAAACTCACCCATTTGTAGATCATTTTTCCATTTTAGCCTCCACTTATATGGGATTTTCCATTTACCAGGGGGTAACTTAGTGAAATACAAGCTGCGCTATTGGAGGCCCGTCCTCTATGGGGTTTCCTGAGGAGGGAGGCGGCAACTTCTTGATCGATGGCTACGAGATCTTGCGACAGTTGCAAGAAAACCCTGAGACGAGGCGTCCTGTCAATGATGTCAATGTCGAACAAGGGATCAAATGCCGTAGTAGTCATGGGGGAACGAAGAGATATCTTCTTCAAAGTACTATGGTGTAGGATTGTTCGAATTTGTTTGTTCCCTTCCGTGGAACAAATATGCCGAAGCGATCTCCCAGGCACTTTATTCTTGAGCCATTCCCAAGTAGAACAACAATGTTTGTGAGATCGATTTTTGCCCTACAAATTCTCAAAAGCAACGTAGAACAGCCACTTGATCATTTCCTTTACTTGCCATGTTTTGCCCAGTTCAACTCGCCTCAAGTCTTTCCCATTTTCCACATGCCATCCAACATCCTATTATAATCCTAAAGATGATTCTCCATTAGTTGTATTTCCATCATGATCGGATTAATAATCATTGGGCAGAATCATGATGGGAACTCTATATTCATTCTAATCCTACTGAAATTTGTATAGATGATTCTCCTATAGGATGATTTCCTTTTATCAACATCCTCCAATTCTAATCTGGTTGGTGGTTTGGAACATGACTTTTTTGACTTTCCATTCAGTTGGGAATGTCATCATCCCAACTGACGAACTCATATTTTTCAGAGGGGTAGGCTCAACCACCAACCAGATAATCCATTATATCCCATTTACAGATGATGATTCCCATCATCTAATCTCCCATATCTATTTGTCGATAATTCTCCATGAACGACACTTCCATCATGGTTAAGATTCTCGAATTATAGTCCATGAGTTATACTATAATCCCATTGTAGCCCATTGTATCACCATTAGATTCTCCATGTATAGATGATTCCCCATTAGTTATAGCATCCCATAGATGATTTTCCATTATATACATATATATTTCCTCATTTATATCATGATCCCATTGAAATCCATTATATATCCCATTTATATCTCCATCATGATGGGATTAATAATCATTGGACATAGTAATGATGGGAATTCTATAGGGAAATCCTATAGATGATTCTCCATTACCCTCTGGTAAACTAACATAACTATAGAAAATCCACCCATTTTATAGCTGGGTAAATCAATTATTTCAATGGCCATGGCTTCAATAGCTATGTAACAAATTACCAGAGGCTAAATTCCCATAAATCAACATATATTTTCCATATATTTTCCAATAAATCACCATATTTTCCATTTCCATACATGTCCCAGTGGTAGAATCCATATTTTCATACCTATAGAAAATCACCTATAAGTTCCCATTAATCACCATGAAATTCCATAAAAGTCATCATTTTTGCTGGTGAAGTCACCGTTTTCCCTGGCTAAATCATCATTTTTATCACCATATTTTTTCATGATGAACATCCCAAAGAGTCCATCTCTTCCAGAGGTGGGTGGTCTCCGCCCTGGAGCATCGCCCCGTCAACCAGACCTCGCGGCTCCCAAGCGTCACCCCGGTGCTGCTGCGCGCGGGCGAACGCCGGGCGCTGCGCTGCCGGCTGCCGGGGCCGCCCTCGGCCTTCATGGCGCAACGGGTGAGTGAGGAATCTGAGGATCCGAAACAGGAGAACTCGGGGGAAGATTTGGATAAAAAGGGATGGCGAACAACTTTTGGTGTGTAAAAATTAGATAAGTAGGATTTGTTGGGATGTTTTTGCATGATTTTTGTGTTTTTATTTGACTTTATGAAGCACATATGGCATGTTGATCGGGTGAAAATGGCTGAACATTGCATTTGATCAACTGAGCATTGTGCGTGTATCAATATTTATCAACTAAAAACTGTGTTTTGAACAACTCAAAATTACGCTTTCAAATGTTCAACAAAAAATTGCATCTTCTTACTTGAGTAAAAGTGTATTCTCCTCACAATTCTGAAGATATCTGTTTTTCTGAGACTTATGTCCTTCCTCAGATGTCCGTATGTTTGTCTCAGACTTTGTTACATCCCCACCTTAACCGGAAAACATAGATGTTCCTATGAAGATCATGGGTGTTTCCTGTAATTTTTCCCTTAAACCAATTCATGGCCATAATTTCGGTGTGAGGATGCCCAGATGTTGGAGATCTATCACCAGTCCATCCAGAAAGCTGCAGATGCTGCGCAGCGCATCTACCTGCGACCTGGGGATGCCTTGGTGGTGGACAACTACCGTAGCTTGCGAAGCCAGGGATGCTGCGGGGGGGGGGCATGAAATGGAGAGCCTAAGTTGGTAGTTTGGAAATCGTTGGATCCGATTTTTGAGCAGCCTAACACTTCCCCAAATCTTCATATTTCAATCAAACAATGCCAATATCTTTATCATTCCTAGTTCAAGTTCAATCCTGCATTTTTGTAGCTTGAACTCCCCCAAGTCCCTTCTCAGGCATGTTCCACGGCCGCGACCCCTACCGCGACCAGCGTCGCCTCCTCTGGCGCTGTTGGCTCTGGACGAGCGCCTCCCGCGGGCTGCCGGACGTCGAGGAGGGCGAGCTGCACTCGACGCCGGGGAACGCGCCGGGGGAGGTGGTCGGGGACGAGGAAACCGACGAGGCGACGGCCAAGCGGGCGCGGAAAACAGCGGCGCTGGGTGGGTGTTGTTGTGTTGCACTTTCCTGTTGGGTAGCACGCTACTCGATATTGATATTGTTTTTGTTGAGCTTAAATTATATAGATATACGATTTGTTGATTATGTTAATAATGTTGTTATCGGCATGGATGAGAACATTCTCATTCAGCAACAAGTACTGCTCGTTTGGTATTTGGTGTCTGAGGCCAAGACCAAACAGTTCCGAAGAGAGCTGACGAAGTGTCTCGGAGTTGGCTCTGACCGTTGAGGCCCTTTAAGGTCTTCAAAGTGGGGATGCTTGTACCCAATTGATGGCCATTTTAGATGGGAAAATGATGATCAATGAGGATATCTTTGGGGTACCCTCTTGGTAAACCAACATAACTAGTGAAAATTACCACTTTTCAGAGGTAAATCAACTATAACTGGGCCATTTTCCATAGCTATGTTAAATTACCAGAGGGTATCCCAATGTTGTGACATCAGGGGACCGATATTTTGATACTGTATCCCCCGAGCTGATTGATCGCTGCAGGAATTCACATTGTCGTGTTGTTTAGACAGCCTTATTCTGGATTCAACGCAACATCTTGGGTTTTCAGCAATCCTTTTTAGATGGCTGGATGTAGCTTTGCAATCCTTTCGCCTGGTGCAAGATTCCCTTTTGTTGGACAGACACCACACATCTACTGTAGTTGATGAAATCATGAAACAAATTTTTATTGGTTCAATGGACCCAGCCTTCATTTTGGTTCCTTCAATATGTTTTGCGGATCAACTATCAATTTCATATGCACAATACATTATTTTGTTGGGTGTGTTCCCATTTTCCTCAACTCCCATTATTGTTTCTCAAATCCACATGTCTAGATATGTCTGGTGGTTCTATCTGCATTCATCGCTGACATTAGGGTCAGAAGTCCTCTTCTCCTGCTGTGCATCTCCGAGGTCCGATTCATACTTTAAGTTTGGCAGGACGGCGGTGAAGACCGGTTTTGCCACCCTGTGAAAACATGGTGAAGCACCCAATTTTGTGGAAGTTAAGCCCCCAAATTCCACAGAATTTCATATTTTCTGAAAGTTAAGCCCCCAAAATCCACAGAATTTTTTTATGATGATCCTGTGGATTTTGGGGGCTTTTTTTTATGGAAAATCCTATCATTGACGTGTCTGATGATAGGAGCTCTTCAATCCGGGTTTGAACTCAACGCGTCCTGAAATTCCGCCAGGACTCAGATGAATGGTGCCATGGAAAATCTGAAAAAAGTCCATCCCTCAGCGAGCGGAATGGGTTACAGGAACAAGGCAATCCCAAGATCTAGAGTTGGATATTCATAGTGGAATAGAAATTATTATATACATGGAATAGAAATATTTAATGCAATCTTCCACAATCATGGAATGATAGTGAAAAATAAACCTTTCATGGCCGTTGTGGCTGCTACTGGTGTTTGGTGAAGCACCCTCTTAGGTCAGTGGCAGCGAACTTTTGACAAAGGCACGGAAGCATGTCATGCTGCAAAGGCCGTGCCAAGTCTTAGAGAAGTTGGGGTACCCCAATCATGCCGAGAAGGAACATCATCTTGATAATTCTTGATCTGGTTGGTGGGTTGGAACATGACTGGATTATGACTTTCCATTCACTTGGGAATTTCATAATCCTAACTGACGAAGTCATATTTTTCAGAGGGGTAGGTATACCACCAGCCAGTTAACCATCGTGAATCACTATTAACCACTTTCAACCATGGTAAATCTAGTGGTAATGGTTAATCTAGGCCATTATCAACCATTATCATTCACGATAACCATCATTAGCAGTGATACATAGTGGTGCCCCAGTTCGATAGCTAAGTTGGTTTATATCTCCAATTTCACTAGGACTTTCCTGGTAGATATATCGAAGTAGTTGATGTGGGTATAAACCAACTTATAGCTGGGGGGGTACCACATTGTATATCAATAACCATCATTATCATTCATTATAACTATTCATTAGCAGTGATGTATCAATATTAACCACTATCAACCATGGCAAATCTAGTGGTAATGGTTAATCTAGGCCATTATCATTCACTATAACATACTATAACCATCATTATTCATGAAACCAACCAACCAGTGATGTATCCTGATCACCGTGGTACCAGGCCCACCATCCCCATGTCCCATGGAGGGTCGCCAACGCGCGCCAACGCGCGGCACCGCGCCTGGCGATGGTTTCATCCGACCTCAAAGAACCAAGCCTCAATAAATGATGCTCTGCGGGAACCTATCAACTTTAGAAATCAGATTCGGATTTCATGGTGAATCATCCAGATGATTGTCACATTGGTGATGTCAAGTTTGGCAAAGCATCTCTGTTGACGATCGCTGCATGCGCAGATCCGACAGAATGGCTTCAAGCTGACTGCACCTGGGCGATCGAAAGCGGGGTGCAGCCTTTTCACTACCACGAACAAAGCCAAATGGGCTTGTCGGAAGATTTACTTTAATTTGGAGAAAAAAATCCTATGTATTTGGATGTTGCTTTTAAGTCTTCAGATTTTCCTATATATGATCCTCATGCGAATTGTGACTTGTAGAAATTTGGGTCAAGCCCCCCTCGGTGTATGGAACGGACAGTTGCCATTGGAGCTACTTCTGGCACCTTTTCCGCTCTTTTGCTTCGCTTGATTTCAGATTTCGCAAACCAACCAGCCACTTCACCAATCTTTGAGTGTCCAACCTGCCCTGAACTTCCATTTGAACTTTTCCCTCTGGATCCATTCAGCGTGTGCGTTGGAATCTTTGTGGGGCTTTTGATTGGCCCAGTGTTAGATCTACTGCACCTGATTAGACAGAGCTGGAAAGTTTGGTTGGCTGTGCGGCTGACTCGGTTGGAGAAGACACCAGCGGAGGGGCGATACCGTCTTCTATGAGCCTGAGGACTCCTGACCAAACTCCGGTGACTAGGGAAGAGTTAGAAGTGTTGAAAGCTGAGCTGGTTCTTTGTAAAGCTGAGATTAGTTCCCTTAAAGCTAGGGTTGAGGTCTTGGAAAGTGAGCGAGGGTCGGATTTTGAGTTGATCTCTTCTGCGCCTTCTGCTTCAACAGCTCCAGCCAGTGCTCCTGTTGCAGAGTCTCTCCCTTCAGACCGTGCTGAGATTGCGGCTGAGATCGGCCAGTGGATTTGCAAAGCTCTCAGAGGACAACGTCGTGGCTTGTCTGGGCGAGAGAAGATCTCCTTGCAGTCCAGGCTCTATTTGGTCTTTCGTGATATCCAGGGACGAGACCACAATCCCCCGCTCTTTTTTGGTACTTGGAGAGAGACCAAGGAAGTGTGTTCGATTGGTGGACAGCTAGGTGATAGCTTGTTTGTGGGCTTGCCTTCGAAGGCTGAGGGACGAATTGTGGTGCAGCACGCCAGGGTTACCTTGCCTGCTGAGCTGCAGCAATGATCGGAGACAGTGCTTCAGAAGACGGCGAGGAAGTCCAACGGACGCTTCGCAACAGTTTTGTTTGTGAGAGTGAGAAAGAACACCATCAATTTTTCCTACCCTGTGGGTATCCTTTCCTTTGAGCCCCCAGCTCAAACATGCAGTGTCATTGCCATCGTGGATGTGGATGGCAAAGTTTTGGTCGCCGTACCCGACTCAGCTTGGAACAAGAAGAAGGCGAAGCGGAACATCGCTGGAGATGCTCTTTCCAAAGCGGTGCGAGTCAGTGTCCAGTCTTGCCGCGCTCAGGAACGAGATGCGCCTTTAGGAGAACCAGACCTTCCTGTTTGGCTTGCTCTTCTACGGCCAGAGTACGAGGAACTAGTGGTCTACGAGGCCGACGAGGAGACAGCTGCAGAGCGTTGCTTTCCTATGGATGGCGCAGGCTTGATGACCCTGCCCTACGCAGCTTCTTTGGTGGCGATTGCAAAGGATCACTTCACCTTCTTGTCCGCAGAGTCAGGGCATCGTGCAGCAGCAAAGCCAGACCAAGAAGAACGCATTGCTGTATTAGAAAGCTCTCTGGACAAGATCCTGAAGAAATTGGATGCCTTAGGGTCAAGTCCTCCAACGGCTGCTCCTTCTGGCTCATATCCTCCTGCGGGTCGTGGTGCTCGAGCCAAGCATCAACCTCGTCGACCTGCTGCCGTAGAAGCTCCACCTGGACTCGATGCCGGCTTAGTGCAGCAAGCGCTCAACGCTGGAGTGTCAAACAAGGCTTTGGCCGAGATGTCCAAACTTGTTCAAGCTCAACCTGCTGGAGCTCCTGCAGATCGACTTCCACTGGGCTTGCCCGAAGAGGTCAGCTCGGCCGAGGAGGAGGAGGCAGTGGGAGACGCCGCTGCTGGTTCTCAAGACCCTGTAGCCAAAGCAGTGGTGCAGTTGACCCAGATCATCAAGGGCATGCAGAAGGACAAAGGCAAAGCTCGAGGAGGATTGGAGGAGATCTTGGACCGCGCCGAATCTGGCTCTCAAAAAGAGCCCGGAGTGAGCACTCGCTCCAGGGCGGCCGCTCTCAGAGCACTTCAGAGGCTTCTTCATTCCAATCCCGCCCTGATCTATCAGAGCTTAGAGCGACGACTGCAGGAGGATTGGGATGCCTCAGAAGCATTGCCTGGAGTTACAGCATCCCAGATCTCAGCCAGGGGCTGGGTCGAGCACCGCAGCAAAATTCAGGGCTACATGACCAGCATCCGCTACAGTTGGATCCTAGCAGGGATCTGGGATTGCCTGCGGTTGGGCAAACACGAGGAAGCACGAGCGCGAGCGGCCTTGGGGGTCGCTTGTGTCGACCAGCAGAGCATCGACCGAGGATCTTTTCTTCTTGCAGGAGAGTTGACGCTCGAAGAAGCGCCACCCATCCACAGTTTTGCCAATCACCAGCTGCCGGAGGCTTGGGAGAGTCCCCATACCCGTCTTGTCGACGGCCGCTGGCTAGAGCTCATCATGGCGAAGCTCAAAGACATTGCCGAGTTCCAGGAGAAGAAAGTGAAGCTTGCACCTGGTCGAAAGTCCGAAGAGACGAAGCCTGGTCCAAAAGCAGATCCGGCAAAGACCAAGGGGAAGAAGGGAAAAGGGAGCGGAAAGGGGGAGGAGAAGACAACCCCGCCGGCTTCCGAGAGCCCTCAATAGCATGTGCTTGGAGTGGCAAGGAGCCTGCGAGCTGGGGGCAGACAACTGCCTCAGGCTCCCTGCCCGAAGTCTCATCAGCTCCTGCGGATGTTCCTGGGGCGAAGGCTCCTGTTAGTAACATCCTCAAGTTGTGGAATTCAATGACTAGGTGGATGATGTCGTCAAAGTCCACCTTTGCAAGTTTTTGGAGAAGCCTGCAGAGCCTTCAGCCTTCAGTGGATGGAGGCACAGCTCCGACTTTGTGGCCCTTGCCGTTGCCTTACCCTTCAGTGTGTTTGCGAGAGGTAGGTACCAATGCTGACTTGCCTTTTCCAGTACGAGCTCGGCAAAAGGCTATGAATCTGTGTGTCGCCGCGTTGTCATGGCTGCACCTGAAGAAGCCTGTGAGAGCTCCTGCTGTCATGTTCATTGGCAAAGAGATGTCGTATCAGCAGAAGCTGGTAGTGCAACGCCTGGAGAAGTTTTTCGTAGAGATCAGCATGGACGGCAATGTGGGGCCAAGAGAAATGGGCCGCACCGCCTCAAAGTTCGAGGGCTTGGATGATTTGATCAACGAGCTCTACGTGCAGACTGCTCGCCTAGAGCAGAGTTCCTACGGGCATTCAGCGACTACTAGCCACAGTGGAACGGCTGGGAAGAGAGGGCATTTTGCCAAAGCTGTTGGGCAAGTGGTAGGAAAAGTTTCAGTTGGAGTGCCAGCTCAAGCGAAGCCTTTAGTGGCGTCCCGACTATCTCTGCCTAAAGACCCTCCTTTGTTTGACCCGTCCTCCTTTCTTGAAGAGCCCTATAAGCAGGTTTATGAAGACCCCGTCAGCTTAGCCTATGACCTTGACTTGAACTCTGCAGTTCCCCGTGTACGAGTTCATGGTTCCGCCGCCCAGAGCTGGGAGTTTGTCAAGCTCCTGGATAGCCATCAACGGCTTCATCTGGCTCCTGGCAGAAAAGTGCGGCGTAACCTCTTGTGCGGGGCTTTTGCCTTGGGAAAGGATGCGGAATCAGATAGATTGATCCTTGATGCTAGACCGCCAAATGCAGTTGAACCCACACACACAGAGTGGGTCAAGACTTTAGGATCAGTTCAAGCTTTGCTGCAGGTTGAGATGCTGCCTGGTTTTTGCATGAGGTTTTCAGGTACAGATTTGAAGGACTACTATTACTCATACAAGATCAGTGCAGCACGAGCGCACCGTAATGCTTTGCGTCTTCCTTTGCAGCCTGCTCAAGCCCGGCACCTAGCTGCGTATCGCCCTGAACTTGAACTAGAAGATCAGCTCATCTATCCCTGCTTAAAGACATTGGCTATGGGTGACAACAATGCAGTAGAACTAGGTCAGCTCTGTCATGTCAAGATAGGTTTGCAGTGCGGAGTTTTTACACCATCCGAGCTGCTTTGCATTCATGGCCGAGCGCCTCGCGGTTTGCTCGCTGCTGGAGTCGTCATAGACGACGTGCTATTTGCAGAACAGGTGCCACGCGGCGATGGAGCAGCGCTTGATGGCGTGATGGGCTTGACAGAAGGGGCAAAACGCCTCAGTGCTTTGTGTGAAGAGTATTTGAACAAAGGTTTGAATCCTCACCCAAGGAAAACTTTTCGAGAAGAAGCCAGCACTGACATATGGGGGGCTCACATAGATGGAGAATCAGGCATCATCAGGCCTGCAGCTAGACGTCTTGTTCCCCTTTTACATGTCACTCTGCAAGTGGCGAAACTGGCAGTTGCTAGTGTGGCTCTTTTGGAAGTTTTGTGTGGTGCATGGATGTCCATATTGCAGTTCCGGAGGCGCATGATGTGCCTTCTGGACCTGTGCTATGCTGCTCAAGCCGAGCGTGACCGTGCTGACCTGGTATCGCTCTCCCCTGAGATTGTAGCTGAGCTCTGGATGCTGGTTATCCTCAGCCCATTAGCTGCCACTGACTTGAGGGCTCAGTCCATAGATGAGATCTTCCTCACGGATGCTTCAGAGGACGCTGTAGCTGGTGTGAGGGCCAAAGTGGGTAAGATCTTCACGACTGAGTTGCAGCGACACTGTTTGACTAGGGGGGCATGGTCCAGGCTGTTGAGCCCCTGGCAGCTTTGGTTGAAGCGTCATGGGCAGCTGGAAGCGGAACAGGAACTACCTGAAGGCGTTCCTTTGGTTTGCCATCCTTTGTGGGTGAAATTGGCCAGGACCTTGCCTTTTTTGTTCCATTTCCTTTTCCCAGTGAAGAAGCGGCGGCACATCAATCTCCTCGAGCTGCAAGGCATCTTGGAGGTTGAGAAAAAGCTGAGCAAGACGAGAGGGGACCTGCGTTATGCTTTAGGTGCTGACAGCCAAGTAGCTTTAGCAACTGTAGTGAAGGGTAGGAGTAGCTCTCCACATTTGAATTCTTTGCTGCAAGAAAGTCTTGCAACGCTGCTAGGCTCAGGGTTGTACGGGAACTATGGGTTCATCCCGTCGCTTGTGAATGCGGCTGATGATCCCACTCGTAGCAAAGAAATTCGTGCACCTGCAGAAGAGGTTCCCTCATGGCTATCTGCAGCCATTGAAGGCAATTTCAAGGAGTTTGACCTGTGGTTAGTGCAGCAGGGTTATTCACCCGTTCAGCTATCCCAAATCCCCTGCACGGACGATGTAGGAACTGTTTCTAGGTCAGCCGAAGCCACACTTGTACAGGAATTGCGAGCTGTAGCAAAGCCTGAGCGGTTAGCAGTTTTTGACGAAAAGCGTCAGGTAGCTTTGGTGGATGTACAACAAGAAATGACAAGAGAGCATCAAGAGCCTGAGTGCCTAACAAAAAAGGATCACAAGAGCCCAAAAAATGAACTGCAAAGAGATGAGAAAGGGCCACAGTCCAATTCTGTTGATTCAAAAGAGGTAGCTCCTCCTCTTAATAAAGTAGGTAGTTCAGATGCCCTGGGAGATCGTCACCATTTTTCTGCAGTGCCAGAGAATGAGATGTCGCCCCTATTGAGCGAGAATGCCAAGGAGTTGCTGCTGCGTTTTGAACCCCAACAGTTTATTCTTCCTGGAGGCAAGCGAGCGAACAGCTATGAGCAGATTCGCCTGCTTAGCCGAGCGGGCTTCCTCGATCTCTACAGTGGAGAGGCCGGGGTTGCTAGAGAGTTGGCTAGGAAGTTTAACGTTTGGGTCATAACTTGGGACTCTACTTCTGGGGTTTCTCAGGATTTGTTGGTCCCAAAAGTTCAAAGAAAAGTGTTTCAGCTTCTGGAAGAGAGTGCAGTCCTGGGAGTCGGCGCAGCGCCTGAATGTGCTAGCTTCAGTCGAGCAGTAGTACCACCGGTACGCGACGCTCTCCACCCAGAAGGTAAAGAGGGCATCTCTGCTAGCATGGAGAAGAAAGTGCAGCGAGGCAATGCTCATTCTGATTTTTGCTGGCAAGTTATTTCGAGGGCTGAAGCGCTGAACCTTTGCTTTTGGCTGGAGAACCCTGATGGCTCTTTCCTTTGGCTGATGCCTGAGTTTTTGAGAAGAAAGTTGGGGGACCCAACTAGGTCCTACCGATTTGACATGTGCCGCTATGGAGCACCCTGGAGGAAACGGACCCGCATAGCAACCAACACCGACCTAGCTGGCCGCAAAGAATTGTGTGTCGCTGGGCATTCGCATCAACGATTGCGAGGCCGCAGTTTGGTTCACAAAGCTTCATGGACCAGAGTAGCCCAGGTATATCCTAAGAGCCTTTGCCGTGATTTGGCATCAGCTATGGCCTTGAAAGCTGGTTTGACGTCCTCCAAACAAGTGAAGCTGGATATCGGAGGATGCGCAAAATGTGCGGGATTCCGCATAGGAGAAGCTGCTCACCCTGGACCTCAAGCCAGACGTTTGTTGGAGTCTGCTAGAGAAGTTTGAGAACTGGTGGACACTCAGTTAGTTGAAGATACCACCATCCATCTGCAGGATCAAGTTTGGCTTTCGATTTGTCCGGTGGTTGCGGGCTCGCCTCAGCCTAGAGACCTGCAATCAGCTTTTCGTTTGCGCACCTTTAGCTGCCAAGATTTTTGAGCACTATGGAGTTCATCTTTTTGCTTCAGGAGCAGGTCTTTATGAGCTTCGGCATCTGCTGGTTTTGGTCCAGCAGCAGAAACCTGAGCTTAAGATTCATCTGAGCCCTGCATGGCGGTTGGTCTCTAAGTGGGAGCAGATTCGTCCCCTGCAGCACAGAACTCCTCTGCCTAAGATTCTCTATATGGCGATGGTAGCGGTAAGCTTATGTTGGGGGATGAGAAGATGGGCAGCCACCCTCATGATCGGGTTCCTTGGAATGACGCGGATAGGCGAAGCTCTAGCTGCTTGCAGATGTGATTTGCTTCTCCCATCTGACAATTTTGACAGCTCAGTGAGCTCTGCTTTTCTGAAAATACGGAAGCCCAAGACATGCCGGCGTGGAAAAGGCCGCATCCAACATGCAAAGCTGGAACAAGCTGATGAGATCCAATTCTTTGAGCGGCACCTTGCCCAACTAGATCCTGGAGTTAAGATTTTTCCTCTGTCTGCTGCAGCTTTTCGAGCGCGCTGGGAGAAGATTCTGGAGGCTTTGAAGATTCCAACAAGAGTCAGACCCACTCCAGCATCTGTGCGCGGAGGAGGTGCCATAGCTTCTTACAGGCAGGGGAAACCGATTCAGGACCTGTTGTGGGGCATGAGAATTGGTTCGCAGTCCACCTTAGAGAGTTACCTTCAAGAACTAGCCGCTGATAATTTTTTAGTACGGTTGCCGCTAGATGCGAAGACCAGAATTAAACATGCTGCAGCCTTGTACCCTTTTCTCATTGCACAGTAGCTCTGTTTTCTTTTGCATGAAATTTCCCTGAGTCACCGGAATTCTAAATTCAAAGCAGTACAGCACGTACCATAGGTGACAGCCTCTTTCAAAAGTGGATGGCAGCATTTTCCATTCAGCTGTGTATTTGGCATTTCTTCTCCCAGTGGGAAGACTTTTAGAAGCCAGCACTTGGCGCTGAACGTCTCATGCTGCGAAGGGTGTCCACCCATGACTTACTCAGAGGCCAAAGCAGGGAGAAAGAGTGCAAGTCAGCACTTTGCATGATCCTCATGCGAATTGTGACTTGTAGAAATTTGGGCCCACTTGCCGCCCACCCAGATGGCAGCATTTTCCATTCAGCTGTGTATTTGGCATTTCTTCTCCCAGTGGGAAGACTTTTAGAAGCCAGCACTTGGCGCTGAACGTCTCATGCTGCGAAGGGTGTCCACCCATGACTTACTCAGAGGCCAAAGCAGGGAGAAAGAGTGCAAGTCAGCACTTTGCATATATATATATATACATGTGTGTGTAATCATATTTTCCTATATATTTGGATATACTTTAATTATGGGAAATGATGATGATGATCCACCACTGGATTTTGGAGCACCCCATTTTTATATAGACAAAACTGACAGGGGTGACACATTTTTGATTTTACCCACAGAAATATGGCCATTTACCAAGAACCAATGGGGACTTAACAAGTGAGCCGTGGATTTGGGACCATTCATATCAATTTCAGGATCCTAAAATGGAGGTACTGACTGTACCATATTCTTGGCCATATGAATTGTGGGGATATTCCCAAAAACATAGCCCTGAAACATAGGCCTTGCCCATCGGTTCCTTTTGGCCACGGATCATAGCATTCATCGGGAAGTTCTCATAGATCCTGCCAGGTTTCCAGTGAAAAACATCCCAGTGCCCCAGTGGAATATTCCCCACTGGATAAGGGATGAAATATGGCTTCTACCCTCTGGTAAACAATCAGTTTGCTATTGAAAATGGCCCAGTCGAAAGTTCGTTGATTTTCCCAGCTAGAAAATGGGTGGATTTTCCAGTTCGTTATGTGAAAGTTCACCAAGCCGGGTATAGATTTTCCCATGACATTTCCATTCTATATCCATAATATATCCCATGATATTTCCATTATATCCCATTAGATATCCCATTAGATATCCCAATAAACCACTATATTGGTAAAACTTAGACCATCCCTAACTGCCCTAACCATGAAATATCCCCTTGGTCGATCCCATTCTCCCCGTTCTCATCCGTTCATTATGGATGAAATGAACCAGGGATCCGATCGGACCACTGAGGTGGGAGACATCACTTTTGTCCTGGCGGAGTGACATGTCGTGAACGGCAATGGAGGGTCGTTTCGCCGGGAAGTCCACAGAAATGGTTCAAATCGTGGAGATGACCCGGCCTGGTCAACGTTTACAGTTTGCGAACTGGAAAATCCATGGTTTATAATAGGTAAATCCACTATAAATGACTGGTAAACATACAAAAAACGATAGAAACTCCACCCATTTTTGATGGGTAAATCAACTATTTCTATGGAAATTTTCAATAGCAAACTGTTTGTTTACCAGAGGGTAGAGATTATGGAGATTGAATCTACGGAAGGGAGATCAAACCGACAGCGATTCCAGGATCTAATCAACAGAAACGAGGACTTGTCCAAAGTGGCTTGTGAAATTTGGCAAAAGAAGTGATGAAGAATTCTTAACGACATTGCCGATCCGAGCCCTATCAATGAGGATCAATATCAAGGGAAAACGGGAAGACCATTAATTAGGTAGTGCTTAAGCAGCCGGTAAACAGCAGGCAAGGCTTCAAACAGTGAAAGATAGACATGATTCAATTCCTTCCAAAACTAGGAAGCAAAAAAGACCAAAGAAGTGTATCTGAGATACGTCAACTCTTGTGAAATTCATATATGTAGATTTGCCAGATCAAGATTTCTGGCCTGATGTCTACAGCCCATTCATCCAGTTGAACATGGGATGGGTGATTTACCAATTGATGCCATGAAAAGATAGGGACCATTGTGACGAACCAGTGGATGACATTTTTTGTGTTCTGAAAATTTTCAGACAAGCACAAGTTTGTGATATAGTTCCATCATTGCGCCTTGTATTTTCAATTTGATGGGCGACATTCCCGAAAAGTGTGTGCCTAATTCCAAGCTTTGGTGGTCACAATTTTGTTGCCAATCCCCTCATGCTGATCAAGGGCTTGAAATGTGTTGCTTTTGCTTCTCACCACTGGTATTGGCGAAATGGCTTTGTCTGAAAATAGGCTAGCCCCAAATCCAGTGGTGGATTATCATTTCCTATTGTCAAAGTGTATTGATATATATATATATACATACAGGATGGGGCCCCCAGTCGATAGCGTTCAGTTGGTTTAGAAAAGTTGCTGAATTAACTATGGTTTATGGTAGATATAAGGAACTAGTTAATGGGGAGTATTTCATGGTTTGTAAACCAACGTTCACATCACTGGGGGGCCCCCATCCTGTACCACATTTGACAATAATAAACAGTATACTTTTATCATTATACATTGTCATAAACATGTACATTATCATTATACTTTTATCAAAGAATAAACATGTATCACATATATTATAATTATATATGGGAATTATATATATATATATATACACATATTGTAGATAATCATTGATCATTGATATGAATAATATCTATGGCATAATATATATATATATATAAACATTATCATTTTACGGGCACGGTATATTTCCTACTGCCAGAGACACGGTATAAACGTTTGTGAGGTCCTATGGATTCTGCTGGGGTGTGGAACGGGCAGTGGCCATGGCCTACGAGGCACGTCGATTTAGCCTTGGATAGAAAAGGATCAATTATGCTGGGTATGAACCATTAAAACAATGGAAATTCCCTCAGAAAATGGAGGTTTTAATGGGAATATAGAATATACCCTCTGGTAAACGTTTACAGTTTGCTATTGAAAATTGCACAGTCGAAATAGTTGATTTACCCAGCTACAAAATGGTGATTTTCCATAGTTATGTTAGTTTACCAGAGGGAAGAAAATACTTACTGGTGTTTAGCAGGGAATGAGGGAATGATCCACAATAACTAGTAATAATCATCCCATTCCCCCAGTCCCATCCATTCCCTACTAAGCACCAGTAAGAAGGGGACAATTTTCACCATGTTTCACCTCTCAATTGGGATTGAACGGGTACGTCACCAATCAAACTTGTGTATTTAAGCGACAATCATGGCGATATCCCAACGAAAGAAGCAATGGCATTGGAGTCGGTTGGCATCAGGTGTTTCAAATCGGGGAGTGGAGACATTCCGTAGGTTGGTTGTTAATCTACCATGATCATTATTCTTTCATATTATTTTATTTGTTTTCACCATCATTGGGCCAGGTGTGTCATATCCGCATTTGTATCAGTAACATCCTGGACATGCACCTCTTATCTCCTAGGTACTCTGGTAGTTTCCAATTTCTTTGATTCTGCATCCCCCCAAGGAAAAGGAATGGTTTTTGGGTTGGGTTGAATAGAAAAACAACCAACTAGTGCCAACCAGCTTACCCTCTGGTAAACTAACATAGCTATTGAAAATGGCCCATTTATAGTTGATTTACCTATTAAAGATATTTAAAGATTGTGATTTTCACCAGAGGGTAGATTGGAAATTGTCTCGACTGCAGGCGAGGGACTTCTTTCCCGACAAGAACATCTGGGTCACGTCGCTGACCCAGAGATCGAGATGGCGACAAATTGACCCAATTTCACCCAAGTTGTTTCGCATCCGTGATAGTGAAAACCATCACCATCTCTGGATGGTTTACTATAAACCCAAATTTTACTATTGACCAGTTGTTTCGCAAACCCAATAGTAAACCATCCCCAAAATCGCCCATGGGTTGTATAAACCATCAGGAAATGGTGGGTTTATTGTTGAGGCTACCACATTTATATCTCCTGAACTCCCAGTAACACTGCCTGAGGATCCATAGGCTGGTGGTATGCTTGCAGTTAAGGAATGTAAGGAATGTAAGGAAGGCTTCAGTCTCTTGAGAAATATCCATATCTCCTCATGTCACCATCATGGTATCGTATCTTGTATCCCCAGCTTCGTTTGGTTTACACCTGGATACTTTTTTTCGTGATTTCCACATCCCTTTTTAGGTACGAGCCTCCACGAATGGCCTTACTACCTTGGGCTGCCACCCATCGGGGATACCATAGGTCCAAGCTGGGTGCCCCTATATGATTGCAATACAAGACGCTTATGACTGGAACTGCACCCCTAAGTACCCCTTACTCTGATGGAAAAAAACAAGGAACGAGATCATCCACAACCCATCAGCTGCAGCCTTAGTTGAGATCCACCGAGGTTTCCCTCGAGTGGATATGATGGATAGAAGGAAAGGGATATTACCGCCGTATCCTGGGGATATCTATTCTGCTTCTTGATTCTTGTGGATTTGCAATTGAATCTCAGAACATCCATATTGTCTCGCGCACAAATTCTGTTTGGAATTGCCGGACCTGGGATGGAAAGCCAAAAGACAACTATTTCTTTTGGGGGTCAAACCACTGATCGATATATTTTTGTTCAGACTTCAGCATCAGGTTGTCAAGCCCCAAGTTGTTTGCAAACTGGTGGTGTGATATCCAACTTGTGTTACTGGGGTTTGTCCGGAACTCCGGGATACCAGATGTTGGCTATTTGAATGGAGAAAATGATGATAGACCACGAGATTTGATTGGAAAACCATTCAGCGAAATATTTGGTTGCCATTTTTGCGATGCTCTTTGGCTTTTGTTTGGTGATGTCACATTTTTGTCTCATGAGACCCAGGTGAACAAGCAGTTGTCCGACAAGGGCATGAAGTTTGTGCAGACCAATTCGGATGGTAGCAAGGCCAGCGATGGAGCATTCCGACTTTATGCGCCTGGGTTATTATGCTTTATCATGAACTGTCGGAGTCCTCAAACTTGTATCTAACAGGTTTTGTTAGTTAAATCCCACTTTTCAACATGAAATGCAACTTTTTGTTATCATAAATCCCACTTTTCGTGTGTTGAATCCCGATCTTTGTTAGTTGTCTTAGCCAGGACTACTCCGGAGTGCAGGAGGGCGACGTCCGATCCTCAGCTCCAGTGCAGAATGGCTTGGATGTGCATCAATTGAGTTGGTATACGTGGTAATTAGATGTAATTAGTGTCAGTAAAGTAATGATAAACCAGCCATATTTTGGTGGGTTTTTACATCTTTATACCACCTATTTATGGTAGAATTAGAATTAGATGTATAGTTGCAGGTGGTTTGATTTAGGTTTACGTAATTATAAAGTCCTGGTCTTTTTTATGGGATAAATGGCCAGTTGCAAAGCATACTGATCATTCATCCTCAACCTGATCATCACATTTTCCGCTCCGCAAAAACATGTTTTTGGTGGGCTTATGGCTTATGATGGCTTATGCATATTGGAATCTAGTCCCACTTAACGGGAAATCCGTTTGGATTTAGAGCTTCCCCCCATGGGTTTTGGGCGCCATTTCTCCAGCCGTTCTCCGCTCGGAGGTGGTGATCCTGCCGGCCTTCGGTGCCTCAGTGGACGAGATGGCGCTCTTCAAGGAGAAGAACGTGCAGATCGTGGACACCACCTGCCCCTGGGTCTCTAAGGCTGATATGGTGATGGGATGATGGGGGCAGATGGGGGACTGAAAAGGGGACTTTTGAAAAGGGAAAAGAGGTTGGGATTTTGTTTGGAGATGGGAAAAAAGGTAAAATTGTCAGATCTGCTCATTGAGATCAGCTACGAATCGTGGACAGTTGTGGAGAGCTATAATGTGGTTAAAATATGTTAAAACTGAATAAGAATCCACACCCAATTTCACCATAAATGGGTGGTATAAACCATCAAACATGGGGTTGTATAAAGTTGTTGGAACCAGATTTCTCTTTTATCAGCATCTCAATAGATTCGAAGTGATGAGGATGGAGACCGTGGGTGAAAGACTGTTCCGCTTGAGAACGGGGATGGGGATTGTAGATGGAAGAAGATTCTAGTGCAGGTGAGCATGGGAGTGTGGCAAGCTTTGTGGATGAGTTGTGACGGTAGATGGTAGATCCCCATTTTCCTACCCAGATGGAATGTGTCTGTGCCTGGCTTTTCGCAGGTTTGGACAAGCGTGGAGAAGAGCAAGGACCGAGAGTCTCTGGATGGACAACAAAACAAAGGGCATGGTGACCGAAATCTCACCAAGACAAAGATGTTTCCTTTTTTTTGCTTGAAAATGCAAAAGGACTACCCTCTGGTAATTTAACGTAACTATGGAAATTCATCATTTTTGATGGGAAAACTCACTATAAATGGCCATTTTCAATAGCTATGTTAGTTTACCAGAGGGTAGCTTTTAAGCAGATTGAGCAGTGGAGAAAGCGCAGCAAAGTGTGGCTCAAAGTAGGCTGGTGCATCACCGGCCGATTGTGGGACAAAAATCACTGCCAGGCAGGCCATCTCCAAACCGCATTCCATGCCTATTCCCATCCTCCCCAATATGTTCGGACTCCCATTCTATGCCAAAGATGTATAACTGGTTGGTGGTCTGGAACATGACTGGATTATGACTTTCCCATCATATTGGGAAGTTCATCATCCCAACTGACGAACTCCATCATTTTTGAGAGGGGTAGGTATACCACCAACCAGATAAATATGTATAAACTACCAAACCATGGTTTCTGGGGATGGGAATATGAAGATCCAGGACAAAGGGCACACCGCCATCATCCACGGCAAGTGCTCCCGAACTGCTTACAGCGCTTGTTTTCCAAACGACCTGAATCGCACGTGACATGTCCATGGGTTTCCTTATTTATGTATATTTATGTTCTTTCCACTAAAATTAGGTAAAAATGACAAACACATGTGATTACATGTGAAATCTCCATTTTTCTTTATTTTTCCATTAGAATCAGATAGCCTTCGTGATACTTTGTGTTTTATCTCCACCTTTTCGTAGTGGAAACACCCAGTCTGGGGCACTTTGTCTGTGGCAGCCCTTGCCGCGCCAGGTACGACCACGAGGAGACGGTTGCGACCAAATCCTTTGCACAGAAGTGCTCCGCTGCTGGCAGGTTTGAAATCTCGATCTCGATATTGAGTCAACCAATGGATGACCACATAGTCAATATTAATGACCAATCCAGAACTATAAGTATCAGAATATTATTGTCCACTCAGAATTTGCCATCCGAAAAACACCTTATGTTTTTTTGCGCTGATAGTGCTACGTAGTGTACCTCTTACATCCTCTTACTAGGTTGCACTGCTAATTCAACAGTTTACAAAATGCAGTTTACTAGGGGTCCCATTTTCCAACTGGGGTGACCTCAGCAGTAGCCAGGCTGGGTGTCACCGCAGGTACTTGGTGCTGAAGAATATGGGTGAAGCGGAGTACGTGGCGGACTACATTTTGGGCAATGGGAACAAGGAGGACAGGTCGTTTGTCATGTGGGATATCCAGAGGTTTTTTGAAAGAACTTGCAGAAGAAAGTCAGCTGTGAAAGCCATGAACATGGGGAATTATCAGAGTTTTTGACCAATTGAAGCGGAAAATCAGCTGTTTTTTATGGATGAACATTGAACATCTGGGTGATTTTCCATTGGAAGATTCGATTCTTGGAGTGTGATGGCTTCACCCTGCAGCCAAATCACTGGCTGCTTCATGGCTATTTTGCCCCCATTCTAATGGGATCTTTAGACCTCATGAAAGCTGGAAATCCGGCCTTCAGCCGACCTGTTGAACTAATCTCAAGGTATGTTTATGTTGTTTCAGTCCCAATTACCCTCTGGTTATGACTAACATAGCCATGGGAAATGGCCCATAGAAATACATGGTTTACCTATTAAAAATGGTGATTTTCCATGGCAAACTGTTAAATAACCAGATGGTCATTATTCTTTGGTAGGGTTTAAGTTTAGACTGTTTTTGTTGGCAAAGTCACCATTCTTGCTGGTTTTCCCCAACAGGATTATTGGTCAGACCACCAACTGCTAGAATTCAGAAAGCCTAATTTGAAGAATGCAGGTGGTTATCATTGGATATCATTGGTTGATTCTAATATAAACCACCATTATTACTATTGCTGATTGGTTTGTTTAGAAAGTAATGATCCAATCAGCACTAGTTTTAATGGTGGTTTATAGTAATAATACTGGTTAAACCACATACATAATTGGTTACTATAAACCACCATTATTACTATATATTGCTGATTGGTTGGTTGATTCTTCGTTCAGTCAGCGTTTCTGCAAGTCATTCGACCATGCGTCAGGAGTTCCTTTCCAAGTTTTCCAAGGTTCCGCCTGGCCTTGCTGGGGCGTAGGGAAGAACTACCCATACGGTGTCATCAAAGGTGGCTGGTTGGGACATCCCCAAAACTTCGATGTTTTAATGGGGAACAAATCATGAATAAATCTGGGTATATTATAACAACCTCACTGTCCTCCCTCACTGGAATCTTGGCTTATTTTAGGGAAGTCATTCCCAAATGGCCGAACTATTCAGGTTAGTGACATATTATAATTTACCCAGATTAAATCAAACATATAGACTTTATATACGCTTCCCACCTATAATCAGGACATACCAGGACTATAGGCAACCTTTGTGGGTTAGTGACATATTATACCCAGATAAATGGTGGATTTTCCAGCAGGCCATGTTTGATTACCAGAGGGGAACCAATAGAAATGGGGATTCGGCTGATCACAAAATCAACTAATTTCCATCCCAACTGGGGGTGACAAAACTAGCAAAAGCAGAGATAGAAGTTATGTAGAACCAACACTGGTGATACACATCAATATATATATGATTATATAGTATACTATAACAACATGGATTGTGAGGCTCAAAAAGAGATTCATCAAATGTACGAAGTAGAACTGGCGAGTGAAAAAACTTGTGAAGCTGTCCTGCTGGAGAATCTCAACTCGATTTCTTCCAAAGATGAGCACCTCGAATGATTTTTTTTGCCAAAAAAAGGCAAGATTTTCCCAGGTCAAGTCTTATTTTGTTGGCTATTGGTTTATCACCATTGTTGATGGTTAAAATCTGATTAAACATATACAACACATGTACAGTTTGGTTGAAATAACAAAACACTATGTAATGTAAGCAAACATGAAGACCAAATCAAGAGTTGTTGATTACATCATAGGCCATCATATTCCAAAAAACATCTCATCATATCCCCCCTTCTTGATTCTGAATCCCATTAAACCCCCATTCAACCCCATGGAATCCCATTCAAATCATGTCAAACCATCATTTTTGTTGGTTAACCCCTGGTAATTTAACAGTTTGCTATGGAAAATCACCATTTTGAATAAGTAAATAATCTAAAATCAGCAATAAATGGGCCATTTTCAATAGCTATGTGAAATTACCAGGCAGTACACTCCCATCACTAATTTCCATTGCTGTTGGTTAAATCCCCACTAATCACCAGTAAATCCCATTAAATCGAAATTTCTAAATGGTGCGTGTTCACATTTCTATGGTGATTCATTAAATTTATTCACCAGCACTAATTCCCATGAAATCCAAGTTTTATCTTGGTTACATCATGTTAAAATCACCAATCAATGCCATAAAAATGACCATTAAATGCCATTCATCATCATTTTCCCTGGTTAAATCCTCATTTCTGTTGGTTAAATCACCATTTTTTCTAGTTAATTTCCCATTTTTGCTAGTTAAATCCCCATTTCTGTTGGTTCACTGCCATACACATCAGCATTACCAGGTTTGGTCGTCAGCTCAGCTGCAGTGTTGCAGGCCATGAGTGAAGGCTTTGATCCCGATGTGGATCTGGAGTGCTTGGGTGTGGCCAACCAGACTACCATGTTGAAGGCACCGGCGCATGGCCATGGCGAACCTAAGGGGCAAACACGGAGGAGTCACGGAGTTTTTTTTTGGCAAGGCCCAAAAAAAGATAGAAAGATATAGATGGACATTATAGATGTTATAGATGGATATAGATGGATGTTATTTTCCAGGATTTGCCAGGATGTTATGGATATAGATGGTATGAAAACTTCATTTTTCCAGGTTTTTCACTGTTCTATATCTTTTTGATGATAAAAAACCACAGGGAAATTAACAACAATGGAGCTTTCATGGAGCTTTAAATGGGGGATCAACTAACAAAAAGTGGGAGTTTTTGGATGATCTTAGGGAGTATAAAAAACCAGCAACTTGTCGGTGATTTTAGTGGGCTTAACGGGATTATCGGATTAGCATGGAATCATCCAGTAGTCATGGTGTGAAAAATATGATGTAAAACTGATTGGTGGTTTGGAACCATGGATTTTTTTTATGACTTTCCCATCATATTGGGAATGGAAAATCATCCCAACTGACGAACTCCATCATTTTTGAGAGGGGTAGGTTGAAACCACCAACCAGAAAACTTGGAATAAGCCCAGTATTTATGGGGCGGCTTTCACCAAGAGAAAAATGGGATACAACGGAGGGGATTTGACGTGGATTTTACGATTCGACTGATTGGATTGTCGTCGATCTGATCCGCCTTTTGTTACACAGTTTCTGTAACCACTAGGGCCATTTATGGATAGTGTAACAGTAATAGTCCATGGATAGTTATTTGGTAATAGTCCATGTATCAGTAATACACAGATACTGTAACTACTATCATCTACTATCCACAGTAGGACATTTATTATCCAATACCATCTGTCTCCAATTTTCTAGGTCTCCGATGGCATCCGCCTTCCTTTCTAGGGCGAGACGGAGCTCATTGGCAAGCTTTTTGAGCGGGCGGGGATCCCCAAGAGAGACTCCATCGATTCCTCGATTCGATTCAAAGTGACTGGTGGATGGGACTGGTGGATGGTGGTTTTATAGTGGTTTTGTAGTGGTTTTATAGTGGTTAATAGTGGTTAATAGTGGTTCATAGTGGCTAATAGGCTATAAACCAACAAGAATGGGAATATGATGAACATAGCTATAGCAGCTAAGCAGCTATTCATGTGGCAAGACATATCTTAAGTGATACTTTAGCGGTTTCAGTATCCAAGGTTGTGCATTTCGCCCTCTCAAGTAGCATTAACTTCACTTATCACCTTTGATCCATGTGGAAACTTCGGATCTCAGCTGTTCGTCCCTGCAGACACTCATCAAGAAGTACGGTCCGCAGAACATCAATGCGGCTTGGAGAATTCTGTGAGTTGATGGTGGTCAGGCGGATTAGTCGTTTTGTATAATGTCAACTCCGGATTAGTCAATGGGAATTTCAGGTACTGTACCATATAAGATCATATTTTGTTGGGATATTCCCTTACATAGGCCTTATATAGGCCTTATACATGATAGGTACCTCCAATTTAGGATCCTGAAATTCCCATCGAATTAATAAACCATAGTTTAATAATGGTGGGGGTACCCTCCAAATAGTCACAATATGATACATCAATGGTACCTCCCAATGAGAAACACCCGTTTGGGGTTTATTAATCCAGGGTTGACATTCTCTGGTTGGTGGTTTGGAACATTTTATATTTTCCATTTCATACATGGGATGTCATCCTTCCCATTGACGAACTCATATTTTTCAGAGGGGTAGGTCAACCACCAACCAGTTATGTTGTTTTAGGGTTTAGGGTTATTAACCATTATTAACCATTATTAACCATTATTAACCATGGAAATCCCTATATTTACCCATACCCATATGTTGTTTTAGGGAGATTGTGGAAGAAGCCACGAACTGGGAATCACCTACAGTCTTGGCCGAGATATGGTGTTTTTTTTTGGTTTCTATAGAAATTGTAGCCATTTAAAGTGTGGATTGTGACCTCTCAAACATTGCCCCAATTGATTCCTGCTTTTCATGGGTTAATGGTCAACATTCCTATTTTATTGCACCTTGTTGATGATAGTCCCAAGAGATGGTTAAGCACATAGTTGTTGATGATGATGATATTTATTGACAATAGTAACATTAGTAGTACTACTATCATATATTAGTGTTAATATGCACTATCATATATTACATTCATTATTGATGACAATGTTGTTGATGATGACCTCACGTATCTTTCATGGTGCTTAGCTGCACCGTCTTTTTAGATCCACCGCGAGGAACACTTCTTGTCTTTCAACACCATTTGCGATGCTACCCAGGTGCACCGAGCCGTTCGGAGTCCGCAGATTTCAATGTTGGATCGCCTAAAAATTGATGGAACATGGGGAGAAATCCATGGAAATCCCCTAGAAAATGAAGGTTTTCATGGGAATAATGCGGTTGAAACAATGCCATGTTTACCACCCATGACTGGGAATGGTAAACATATCCACCCATAAACATGCTGATTTTGGGGATGGTCTATGGCATTGGGTTGCCCACATTAAATGTCTTCCTTTCAATGTTGGATGATCTATTCAGTGCGGAGGTTTTGAACGGGGGGCCACCAGTGAAATACTGATGATTCTGGAACACACCAGGAACCGGAATTCGAAGACTTGGATGAAGGGAACATCTGCAAGGAAAAACACTATTCAATGGTAAAAAAAGAAACAAACTGTGGATTTATATAGATTTTCCATGATTTTCCCATGGATTTTCCACAAAAAAGAACCTAAATGATGTGCCATGTCGCAGGAACGCCAGGACGCGATGTACAAGATGTTTGGTGCCGAGTACGAGGCATGGCATGGATATCATGTACAAGGTGGTGTACCCCTAATGATAAGTTGGTGAATAAACTCCATTAAATAGATAATTATATATATATACATACATCTGAAATCATGGAAATCATATATAGTTATGTTCACCAACTTAGCTATCTAGTGGATACACAACCATGTCATACTATAGGATACCCCAGTTATAGATGGTATATCCCCAGTTAATCCAAAGGGGGAGCCACTGATCGCTATGTCAATCCATGGGGGCTCTTTACATTGCCTCGAGTCAACTTCCCATTGTTACCCTCTGGTAAACTAACAAAAAGCTATTGAAAATGGCAATCTATAGTGAGTTTTCCCATTAAAAATGGTGATTTTCCATAGTTATGTTAGTTTACCAAAGGGTATAAGCTATAAAGATCCTATTCAATCCCCCGTGAGTTTATCTGACTGGTGGTTCAGAACCATGGAATTTTAGGACTTTCCATTGAGTTGGGAATAATAATGGTGATTCTTGGTGATTCATAGGGAATTCACCAAGCAAAATGGGGGTATTCATAGGAAATACCCTCTGGTAATTGTCCATTCAGTGAGGAATGTCATCATCCCAACTGACGAAGTCCATCATTTTTCAGAGGGGTAGGCTCAACGACCAACCAGTTAACCATTATCAACCACTATAAACCACTTATAAACCACTATTAACCACTATTAACCACCATTAAACCACTATAAAGCACCATATATGAAGCCACCAACCAGTTGTGATTTCCCTATGGTTTTCCTATGATTTTCCAACCCGGCCTCACCAGCCCTTTTTTTCATCGAGGCGCCCGAGTCCAAATTGTACGCGGACTTGGAGGGCGAGCAGGTGGGCATCGATTTGATGACCACCAAGAACGCCGAGAAGTTGTCGTGCGGACACCCAGATTTTTGTTGACGAAAGTTGGATGGTTCATTCATGGTGTGAAAAATGATGTGTTTGAATGTGTTTGATGGGATTTAATTGGGTTTGATGGGATTTAATGGCGCTTAATTTGTGGTGTTTAATGGGATTTAATGGTGTTGAATGGTTGGTTCACGCTAGGGTAACCTTCAGATTTTGGTTCAACCCAAATTTGCATGGTTTGTTTTCCACTGCAGGCTTTTACAAACCTCGAGCCATGTATCAGTTCTGATGGCAGTTTCTGATGGGAGCCAAGCAACTGCCACATAGAACACTTTTTTCACCCAGAAAATCATGAGATGTTTCCCGAGTTGTTTTATAACCTGCATATGAACATATGACGACCATTCTCCAGGGATAACCATTCTCCAGACATATCTGCCATCCCGGGCAGCGTATTGCGTGGCGCCATGGCGGCGTTTGATCGTTACCACGCGTTCCGCAACTTTGATGGTCCGCCAGGCAGGGTCCTTGGGGGCCAGCTGGAAGCCATGGTGAAAAGCATGGTGAAAAGCATGGTACTTCTCTGGTAATTTGTAACGGTTAGCTATTAAAGCCATGGCCCAGTCGAAATAGTGGATTTACCCAGCTAGAAAACGGGAGGATTTTCCAGTTCGTTATGTGAAAGTTTACCAGAGGGTAACTGCTACAACCCAGTGATTGATGTCGGGTGTCCCCACTTTATGATCTGTATGTGTGGCTGAACTATCCACTTAAGTGGGATGCACATCCAGGTACAATGCTTTGATGGTAACCGCCGAGGAGCATAAAAAGAGGCACGATGAATTGTTTTTGTTGCTATCTATATTCTATCTGTCACATCAACTAAGGAATCACTGGGTCAATGGAAATTTCAGGATCCTAGAATGGAGAAACTGTACCATATAAGGCCATATTTTGTGGGGATATTCCCTGAAATCTAGGCCTGAAACATAGGCCAAACATATATATGGAATCGGTACCTCCAATGAATAGGTTCCTGAAATTCCCATTGACCCAGTGATTGTTGTTAGAGACTGAAAAGAAAGATGATACTTCTTCCTGCAGGGCCCCCCTAGAGCCAAGTAGATAGGTAAGTTGGTGTTTGGTGGGTATATCGAGCGAGTCAGAGGGGAATAAACACCAACTTTCATCCATTTATATGTAATATATGTATGTTGAAGAATCAATAAGAACCCCATTCTATCTCCATTTCTAGATGGTTTCCTCCCATTTTCCATACTTTTCGTGCCCCATCTCTGGTCATTTCCACCGCCTGCAGCACCAGGCTTAGCATTGGGTTTAGAGGAGATCAACCGGAATTCGGCGGACAACTGGATGCAGAGGCGAGATTCCACAGATCCAGAAAGTGGAAGTTACCCTCTGGTAAACATACAAAAAACTATGGAACATCACCATGTTTGATGGGAAAATCAACTATTTCAACTGGGCCATTTTCAATAGCAAACTGTTAGTTTACCAGAGGGTAACCCTACCTATCTCAGTGGAATAAGTGGAATGAGCCCAGTTAGTTTTCCATTGATTAGTTCACCCTTATTTCAGTGGATTAATTGCACGTATCCCACTGAAAAAACCAGGGACAAAACAATGATATCGCCTACTTAGGAACTGGGATGAGCCATCAAGTAGTTGATTCGGATATTTCGCCAATAAATGGTGGAAAAAAAATCATGGGATATGAAGGGATATCACCATTTGAAGAGAAAAAAGCCATGGGATATTTCACCAAGAATCATTGGTATATCCCATGATATCACCATTAAATCATTAATACATGGTGATATCATAGGATATACTGGGATATGAAAATAATGCTGGTCTGTGATAGTAATATTCATTGGACTACCATTCCCATTTTCTAGATGTTTTTTCCAGCTACAAGCCTCCAGCCATAGTTCGGGGATTTTCCTGCAGGCCATGTTTGATGACACCGGAAGCGAGCTAACTGTTGGTTTAAGCCCATAATACCAACAGACAACTTGCAGCAGAAATTGCAGAAATCGGTCGCCAAACACCGCATCCAGGCAAATCTCGAAGCTTCAAAGCTCAAGCTCTGATGCTCGACCCAGATCCAACTGTTACTGCTGGGATGTGGATCCCAAAAATGGATTTTCCTTCAAACATCGTGAGATTTGATGGAGATCTACTATGGCACAGTAAAACGCATAGCTTTCGCCTGGGACTCGGCCGAAAAGCCGAAAAATCCCATGGTTTGGAGGGGGCGATTTGGAGCTATGGGTATACGAATCGAGGAGCTCCCAACCATCTGATAGATCTTAAATATCGAGATTAATGGGAAGTATTAATGGGAAGTATTAATATCTAGATCAACCATATATGGCCATTAATCTGAAGAATGGGATGATCTGGAATAATGGCCATGTGGATTCCTTCCGTATCGGCGATCTGAGATGAAAACATGCCTCGAGCTGCAGGTGGTTGGAGCTGGAGGTTGTCATAGTTTTGCCATTGTTTATAGTTGCCAGTTGTACATCATCGGAAAAAGAATGAGAATTATTGCTCGGAACGAGAATAATATCATAAGCAATGCCCTTTTTCCGGGTGTCTAAGACATTCTAAGACATTCTAAGACATTCTAAGACATTCTAAGACATTCTAAGACATTCTAAGACATTCTAAGACATTCTAAGACATTCTAAGACATTCTAAGATTCGAGTCTAAGACATTCGACTAAGACTAAAGCCAAAAAGCTCCTGGGCTTGGAGGAAGATGGGTGAAATCGTAGGTACATATTGGTAAAATTATAAATATATAATGATATATGGATATATATATGGATATATGCATATATATATATATTGTAGCTATGGATATATATATATATGACTATCAGTATTGTGGATATATATATATATATATATATGTGGTGTATATATACTGGTTGGTGGTTTGGAACATGTTTGATTTTCCATTTCATATATGGGATGTCATCCTTCCCATTGACTCATATTTTTCATAAGATGCTTATTGCACCACCAACCAGTACATGTTCAGTCCCACTGAACTTTAGCTAATCACTCTGGTTATTTAACATAGCCATGGAACATGGCCCATTTATAGATGGTTTACCATGGTTTACCTATTAATAGCATGGTGATTTTCCATGGCAAACTGTTAGTCATAACCAGATGGTATATCCCATTAGATTTCCATGAAATATCCCATTAAATATCCCATTAAATCCCTATAAACCACTATATTCATGGTGATTTCCCATAGAAATAGTGGATTTACCCATTAACCATGGTGATTTTCCATAGTTATGTGAAAGTTTACCAGAGGGTAAGTGCCATTAAATCCCATTAAATCCCATTAAACTACCATCAAACTAGCATTTTTCCTATGGTTTTCCATGGCAAACTGTGAACGTCATAACCAGATGGTAATCGCCTCAGCTTTCTCAGTGAGTTTTGACGAAGTACAGATCGATTTAGGGAGTCCACCATTAAACCCAACCCCAAAACCCCACAAAACCCACCATTTTCCATCATTTTAATGATTCAGAATTCTAAAAACATATGTTAGGGTAGGATAGGTCAGGCACCTCCAATGTCAGTATTAACCTGGCTCTGGTGACGCCCAAGGAAAGAAAAAAAGAAGGCGAAGAAAGAAAAGAAGAGCCTTGGAACAACGAGATTACCAGCCATGGTATAGACGACCCATAGAAATAGATGGTTTACCTATTAAAAATGGGTTGATCTTTCCATGGCTATGTTAGTCATAACCAGAGGGTATATCTACCATAAACCATAGTGGGGATTCAAGTCACTTATGATTGGGGCTTCAACCAAACAGCATTGCGGCTTAGCAAAGATCACATGGGGATTTAAGCATGTTTAAGTAATTCTGTACTGCTTCTGTATATGAATATAATGTTAGTGTAGCATTCCCAAAATTGAGGGGAATCATATTGATGGTTGTCCCGACATTTGCGCCAGAGCTGATAAGGAAGAATATTTGGGCCTCCTGCTGTTTGGGTAAACCGACTGATTGAGTGCGTCATTTACTGTATGTTCATTGTTGTTTCCAAATATAATCATCCTGAAGTAGATGGAATATCAACATTCCAATGATACTCCATTTTGTTAGGATTGTTTGAAATATCACAATATCCATGTTCTATCTACTCCAGAACGAGTTTATATCCATATATATATATATTATATAGTAGTCATGGGGATATATGCTAACCTGCAAAACCATGCAAAACCATGTTTCGCACAGGGTATGTACTGCAAGAGATACCCTCTGGTAACCTAACATAACTATGGAAAATCACCATTTTTAATGGGAAAATCCACTATAAATGGCCATTTTCAATAGCTATGTTAAATTACCGGAGGGTAGCAGGGATTCACAAACTTGGAGCCTTAAACCATTGGAATTCCGCTTTTGGGCGACTTTTTGGCACCAGTTTTGATCCTGAGATTGCCAGTTTCGTCCGTGTTGGCTATGGGAAGCTATGCTTCAGCCTGTTGGTGTTGTATCCACTTTGATACTGAATATATATATATATATATGTATATATAATTATGAGATATATGAAAATCCCATTGTTGGTTCATGTACTGTATAGGTATATATATATGTATCATATATCTAGCCTTTTCTTTTAACAACCGCACTCATGGATATGGGTCAGGATTTAGGACTCTCAACGAACACCGCCCGGGTTTGTTCATTTCATGAAGCATCTGTTTTGTTGTTTACTAGCCCATGTATACCAGTGATGGTTGTGTCTCCTGTTTTTTCTTGATGTGCATCCTATATACTGTTGATAAGCACCATTAGAACTTGTTTGTAGACAAGACAATCCCACTTTGTTGACTTGTGAGCAGGAGTTCATGGATACTTATTTTTAGTAGAAAAGCCCCAAGACATACCCAATGTGGGTATGCGTCAACACTTTCCACCCCATGAGACCATAGATTCTGATCATCCAATCTCGACCCATACCCATTGGGGTTGTGAATAGCCCAGGAAGTTGAAGAAAGAGAAAAAGAAACTGAAGAAAGAGCAAGCTGGCTACAGTTAGGGCCAGGGTTTCCTATCCAACAGGACCGGGTAGGTTTGAACAAGGATTTGAACCGGCAACGGATGTATGATGTACCCAAACGTATGCAGAGTCTCTGCGGATGCAGCATGTAGGTACTGCAAAACACTGCGAATTGTGTACTGGCTCTAGACGCATTGGCTCTCCATTCGAAACCGCTCCCTTGAGCTGAAACCGCGGGGGTTTTGCCATGGTTCCATATGGTTCCCCATGGTTCCCATGACGCGTCATGGCGAGGTCGAAAAAAACAGAGGCCAAGGCCAAAGATGAAAAAAGTCTCCAGCAGGGCACCCCAAATAGCCATGGGTCAAGAGACCTGGGGTCGAGAGTGGGGATGTCACAATGCCACCAGGACCTGTGTCATTTTGGGACCCGTTTACCATCTGGTAATAGATGGTTTTCCTAAGTTTTCCTATAAAAAAGGGTGATTTTCCAGTTCGCAAACTGGTCAATTAGCAGAGGGTAAGAGGCACCAAGTTTTTCAGTGGCTAAATCCCTATTGTGTGATCTGCAACTTACAATGATCTGAAATATGGCCACTTTTCCATACAGTGTAGGGATCCAAAATTGTTGTGCCCGGTGAATTGTGCTCCTCAAGCAACAATAACTATGCACAAAGCATCAAATAAGATCTGGCAATCTACAGGATGGGGCCCCCAGTCGATAGCGTTCAGTTGGTTTATAAGTGGCTGAATTCTATGGTTTATGGTAGATATAACGAACTAGTTTTCATGGGGATTATTTCATGGTTTATAAACCAACGTTCACATCACTGGGGGGCACCACCTTTTTAATCCTTTTTACATCTCCATCTTAATTCGATCGGTTGGCGATATTTCGAACATGTCCATCGTTCGTCTTTGAATTTTGACCATCCAATGACATGTTCGATACTTGTGATATAGAATGGACAACCGGTTAACATTTATCGAGATTTCCACCTTGGTTTCTTCCGGATGCATTTTTCTGGGTGATATACCCTCTGGTATCCCTCTGGTAAACTAACAGTTTGCTATTGAACATGGTGATTTATAGTGGATTTGTCCATTGAAAATGGTGATTTTCCATAGTTTTTGGTATGTTTACCAGAGGGTACCAAGCATTTATGGGCTAGAATTGTTCCCTTGGCCACACCATTGGCTAGCGGCTATCAGATTTCAACCGTTCCCACTTCAAGACTTCGCAGTTGTGAGTCGGTTGAGTGGTGGTGTTGATGTTGAAGTGATATCATGAGTCCACTAGAAATCATGGATGTATAAAATAATAATAATAATAACAATAATAATAACAATAATAATAACAATAATAATAACAATAATAATAACAATAATAATAATAACAATAATAATAACAATATAATAATAACAATAATAATAACAATAATAATAATAACAATAATAATAACAATATAATAATAATAACAATAATAACAATAATAATAACAATAATAATAACAATAATAATAATAACAATAATAATAATAACAATAATAATAATAACAATAATAATAACAATATAATAATAACAATAATAATAATAACAATAATAATAATAACAATAATAATAACAACAATAATAATAACAATAATAACAACAATAATAATAATAATAACAATAATAATAACAATAATAATAATAACAATAATAATAATAACAATAATAATAATAACAATAATAATAGTAATAATAATAATAGTTAATAAATAAATAAATAGATAGATAAATAAATCAATATACACATATATAGAGATTACCCTCTGGTAAATTCACATAGACCCTCAAAAGAACCAAGTTTTATTAGAAACTAAGCTTCCAACCCCTATCTGGCAGGGTCGAACTCTTAATTTACTGGATGATATATCACATTTCACAATCGGTGATGACCCCGATTTCAATTGATTTCATTGGTTTTACCCTCTGGTCAACTTTCACGTAACTATGGAAAATCCGCCCATTTTCTAGCTGGGTAAATCCACTATTTCTATGGCCATTTTCCAGTTCGCAACCTGTAACAAATTACCAGAGGGTAAACATCCATAAAGCACCATATTTTTCCGATATTTTCCAATAAATCACCATTTTTGATGGGTAACTCAAACATAAATGGTCATTTTCAATAGCTATATTAGTTTACCAGAGGGTATATCCCATTAAATCCCATTAAATCCCATCAAATCCCATCAAATCCCATCAAATCCCATTAAACCACCATTAAATCCCATTAAACCACCATTTTCCTATGGTTTTCCTATGGTTTTCCTTAGTTTTACCAGGTCGGGTACATGTTTTGCGAACCAAAACTCCATAACAACACTGCACCTCTGAGGTCCGACACCAAAGCAGGTGGAACTTCTGGGAGCCGAAAGGGATGATGGAGCGCAATGGGAAAGAAACAAATCCATTGGCGTGGAAACTAATATATATATATATATGTATATGTATATGTATATGTATATGTATAACATTCATAGATATATGTATATGTATAATGATATATATATATATATATTAGTTACTGTATACCTTCTGGGGTGATTTGAGTTCCCAAGTCCCAAAATGAACACTGCAATACTGAGAGATTCTCAAATCAGTTGGATGGGAGTTTCCAGAAATTTACCATGGCTCCTCAAAAACCATTTTTGGATGGTTTTCTGCAAAGAAAGGTCATTTCCCATTGCCCCCTTGATGACTGGAGCATCGGTTTTCGAGGTGAAAAGGAGGCCGAGAGCAGCAAGAGAAAACGTGATGGTGATTGACTTTCGATCTCCCTCAGTTTGATTCAAGGTATGGGTCAAAACCCACAAACTATGCCTGATGAACATCCAAAAATCATCAAAAATCTCAAGGATTTTACACCTGGCTTTGGCTGCCGTGGTGAGGGAAGCCGGGCCATGTTGCCGGCACTGGTGTTGCAGCCGTGGCTTGCAGCCGTGGGCGGCAGCCGTGGGCGGACGACAGATGTACATAGAAAATATTTTAAAGTCTACCCAGAGAAACGCGGATACAAAAAAAATCGACATCTCTTTGTGTTCCGGAAACTGTTGGACCGGGTTTCAGGAGTTTGGGCCAGCCCATTGATACAGCCATTGGTTATGTATCGAGTTGTGTTGCACAGATTGCGCTGTCTTCACCAGAACCATTTAACTTAATGTTGGATTAAACGTTTGCTCCATGTTTTCATGCTTGCATCCTCATTTTCACTAAACGGTTCATGTTTGTCTCCAGTGTTTGTAGGTTGCATCCTCAAGTCCTGTCCGTGAAGACATATGTTGCTGCCAGGTATATGAACTAATTCCTCAACTGCTGTTGGCATAAATCTGTCTTTCTGTTGGTTAGATCCTCAATGTTTGTTGACTAAAACCCTTATTTATTTCTGTTTGTAAAACTGGTGGTTTCCTGAAATTGGGGACCCCCCTCAAATGGATGATTTATAGCGGAAGATCCTATTAAAACAAGTGATTTGAGGCCCCAAGGCCACAATTTTTGTTGAGATCACCCGTAATCTGCCCCTTCCCATGGTGAATTTTTGTGTCCACAATGATGAGGTCCCGCCAGATGGAAGCGGACTCCAAGGGAGGTTGGGCAGCGGGTGGCAGTCGAACAGATGTGAAGGGCAACCATGGTGAAGGGTTGAATTTTAACCATCAATGTGGGATTAAATGGATATATTGATGGTTAATATCAACATTGATGGGTATAGTAATATGGTTTCAACATTAATCCCACATTATGATCAATTCGGAGATATTTTGTGGGAAACCTTGGACATATCTCCCCAAAAATCGTGATTTTGAGGGGACACACTTGGACATTCAGGGCCAAAAACCTTGGTAAATCCATTGCTGAATGATGAGATTTGGTGCAGGGTATAGCCATGCCTAAAGAAAAAATGGAAAAGTGTGAAATCCTACTGTTTTGATAGCTGGTTGGTGGTTTGGAACATGACTGGATTATGACTTTCCCATCATATTGGGAATGGAACATCATCCCAACTGACGACCACTCCATCATTTTTCAGAGGGCTCAACGGGCTCAAAACCACCAACCAGATATTTCATGATTTTCCCCATGTTTTTCCCATGATTTCCCCATGTTTTTCCGATTTTTTCTGGTTCAACTTTCGAGATTTTAGAGGCTCCCTCTTGGTTGATGGACCAGCAAACAATGTCTCTGGATGGCTGGAGCTCCACTCGCGCAGAAGTTTGTTGAAACGTTCCTGAAATTTCAGGTTCCCAAAACATGTGCTACAAATGAAGGTCCTGGTACCCTCTGGTAAACTAACATGGCTATAGAAAATCACTTTTTTCTAGCTGGCTAAAGCCACTATTTCTATGGTCATGGCTTCAATAGCTTTTTGTATGTTTACCAGGCCGGGTATATCCTATTAAATCCCATTAAATCCCATTGAATCCTATTAATCCCGGGTATCTCTAAATTCGACGAAACAACATCTTTGGACCCCTGTCACTTCAGGTGGTGAAGTGTCCGACGAGATCCCTGCGAAGAGTCTTGGCGAAAGATGCCAACATCCAGGGGAATCCCGGGGTCCAGGGGAGAAGTTTCGATGGGATCTCAACCAACATATGAAAACCATAGGAAAACCATAGGAAAATGGTGGTTTAATGGGATTTAATGGGATTTAATGGGATTTAATGGGATTTAATAGGAGATACCCTCTGGTAAACATACAAAAAGCTATTGAAAATGGCCATAGAAATAGTGGATTTAGCCAGCTAGAAAAAAGTGATTTTCTATAGCCATGTTAGTTTACCAGAGGGTATATAAAGACAATCCCACCATCAACGCAGGTTTTAAAAACAAAAGAATGATTTTTCACGGGTATCAATCAACGAAAGGTGGTACCAACCCACTAGAATGCATGGCTATGTTTTGTTCCCATGGGAAAGTCATCGATATTTTGGTACCCTCTGGTAAACTGTTACATAGCTATGGAAAATCACCATTTTTAATGGGAAAACTCACTATAAATGGCCATTTTCAATAGCTTTTTGTATGTTTACCAGAGGGTGGATGATCGAATTCACCAAGAATCACATCTCTCAGTGGTCGCCGTTCGCCAGGGTGGACATGTTTGGAACTCAGGGGAAAGCGACACACAGCGCAACCAATGGATGACACAGCGCTGAACTGGACACTGGTCACTGTGCATTTTGGTGGCAGCGCAATTCCTAGATTGAGATGCGACAGAAATTAGAAAAGCTTCACATCGTGAACAACAGAGTTGGACAGATTGAAGTGATTGGAACAAACTCCTTAATAAAAGACAACAAGTTGAAGAATCTGTCGAACACCTGCAAATTATATGTTGAACAATGTTGAAGCATGTTGAACACATCATCTATCCCATAGTTTCCAATATCCCATAGTATCATAGTTGTTTGTTGGTTTGTAAACCATTAAATAATCCCCATTACCCTCTGGTAATTTAACATAGCCATGGAACTGGCCCATTTATAGATGATTTACCTATTAAAAAAATGTGATTTTCCATGGCTATGTTCAATAACCAGATGGTAACTACAGTTATATCATGTTATATCTATCATAAACCCACAGTTTCCCATAGTTTCCCATGGGTTCCACACACGTTACCCTGACATCGCGTAGGGTCTTGGTGCTCGGCGGCTTCAACTCTTCGAACACGGCAGGGGCACTTGTGGGAACTCAACGTTTTAGCGCCAAGACGGGACGAAAAACATGGGAAACTGTGGGGAAATTCATGGGAAACTATGGGAACATATGGGAAATTATGGGAGAATGACTAGAAGATACTAGAAGATATGGGAGAATGATGGGAAAACGATGAAGAAGTATAGGCAAATATGGATATTATTTGTGATTTGGGAACACGAATCATGAAAACAACATCATAAGACAGATATTCCATAGTTGCCCAAAAACATGATGTTTTCCCATGAAATGGCAGAATACTATGGGATAACGATGGGAAGATATGGGTAATGATGGGAAAACCATGGGATAATCATGGAAAATCATCTGGTTATGACCAACAGTTTGCGAACTGGAAAATCACCATGCTATCAAGAACGGTAAACCACCTATTTCTATGGGCCATATATATACCATGGCTATGTTAAATAACCAGAGGGTATATGTGGTTCATTTGGGGATGTGGGGTGATTTGGACACCTTACAGAGGTAGACCTGGACAAAGTGGACAAATTACAACAACCTCACGTCGCGACGTCACTAGAAACAATGCTAATAAAGGAATCATCACCAAATGCCTGATTTCAGGTTAGTTGAATTATCAGGATTAGTTAAATAGTAATAATCCACAATAACAATCATGGATAATCACCTGATAGAAACACAAAAAAAAATATCCCGTCTCTTCTTTTTCTTGGCTTAGCAGGTTCTGTTTTTTGGTGGTATCTGGGGTACCTTGAATTCTTGAATTCTGATGTCCAACGCATCCGAATTTTCTGGTTCAAAAAAAACCATCTGGTTATGACGTTCACGCTTTGCCATGGAAAATCACCATGCTATTAATAGGTAAACCCAGGTAAACCATCTATAAATATGGGCCATATATATATATACCATGGCTATGTTAGTCATAACCAGAGGGGAACTCTTCATTGCTTAACCACCCATTTAACTCTCGCTTCACGCTTTTTATCGATGGTTAACTCTCCGTTAACTCTCCTATTTTGACATGTTGGGCACTTCTGATTGTTTCGAGTTGAAAAAAGCTCTGGATCTTTCGTTTCTGTTGGTAAATCCTGTATCTCCTCATCGTTCATGTTGGTTTCCAATCAGCAAATTCTTAGCCCACATTTTTTCGAACATCCTGGGGTTGATCATCATCTTCACCGTCATTTCGATGGGCCGTACCCTCTGGTAAACTAACATAGCTATGGAAAATGGACCATTTGTAGTATATTTTCCCATTGAAAATGGTGACTTTCCATAGTTTTTTGTATGTTTACCAGAGGGTAAATCAGGGGTAAAACCGGGGTTTCCCAAAAATCTTTGACTCGCCGGAGATCCCGGAGATCTTGGAAGATCATCAGAGGAATCCGAAGTGGTTAGCTTAAGAACCATATTTTTAAGCCATGGAACTCCTCTGGTAACGCGATGTCAGGGTTTGTTGTGTGTGGAACCGATGGGAAACTATGGGAAACTGTGGGTTTATGATAGATATAACATGATATAACTGTAGTTACCATCTGGTTATTTAAGCCATGGAACCCCTCTGGTCATAGAATTGGATGATGGGAAAATTTTAACCGGAAACCCCTCAGAATTTGATGGTAAAACCCATGGGTTTCCAGTTAAGATTTTCCCAACAAACCCAATCCATTGATCTGGTTATGACTAACGGTTTGCCATGGAAAATCATCATGCTTTTTTCAGAACGGTAAACCATCTATAATGTCAACCCCGGATGTTGCTAAACCATGGTTTATTAATTAGGGGGGTACTCCTCCAATAGTCATTTCATCCAATACTTAAATGGTATCCCCCCAATTAAACAGCCTATGGGTTTATTAATCCAGGGTTGACATTATAAATGGGTCATGGCTTCCATGGCAAACTGTGAATGTCATAACCAAATGGTATAGATGAAAAAAACCTCACGGAATGGTGGGATCCCTTCCTCCGATTGGATTGAATTGATGCATTCTCCAGATCTTGACGGTGAGTCAAAACTACCCTCTGGTAAACTCACAAAAAGCTATTGAAGCCATGGCCATTGAAATAGTTGATTTTCCCATTAAAAATGGTGATTTTCTATAGCTATGTAACAGTTTACCAGAGGGGATATCCCATTAAATCCCATTAAATCCCATTAAATCCCATCAAACCACCATTTTCCTGTGGTTTATAGTGGATTTTCTATAGCAAACTATTAAATTACCAGGCCGGGTATCTCAAAACTACCCAGATCTTGATGGTTAGATCCCAGATGTTCAGGATAGTTGATTTCTCCTGATTTTTCAGTGGCTAACCCCCTTTGTTCATTGTCAAACTAGCAATTCTTATTGCTAAATTAAAATATGGTCCTTCCAGAAAGCTCATTACACAAAGTATAAACATATACAAACATTATAAACCGATGGTTGAATTCCATAAGACACATGTTATTAAAAAACAACTGGTTACATCATCATCCCAAACATGTTATGTGTAATATATATATATATCTCGGCAAATTACAATGACCTCACTGTTCTCCCTCACTAGAATCATCCCCAAATGGCCGAACTATTCAGGTTTGTGAAATATTTTGATTCCAGATAGATATTAATAAAAATAATTTAAATATGTATAAATCACAGTCACTAGATATATACCTAATTATATACCCTCCGGTAAACTAACATAACTATGGAAAATCACCATTTTTAATGGGAAAATCCACTATTTCTATGGCCATTTTCAATAGCTTTTTGTTAGTTTACCAGAGGGTATCTCCTATTAAATCCCATTAAATCCCATTAAATCCCATTAAATCCCATTAAACCACCATTTTCTTTTGTTTTTCTTAATTATATAATATATAGATGCGTCAGGAATCTCCGATTCGATCCTCTCCTCCCCAAGGCTCATCTCTTGGAGATTGCCGAGGACAAAAAAATCACCGCGTGCGCTGGAAACGGCCCCTGGGGCCCCAGGGTGCCGTATGGAAACACTCCATAGTTTTTTTGTGATATGGATGTGGGTCAAAATGGAAGACCTAGGGGACCACAGATGTTAGTCTAGTTTAGTATTAACCATCCAATTATTGGGGTACCCTAATTTTGACCCATACCCATATCATTCATATACTTATCACAAAATATAACTGGCAAGCATATCTATACAGTATCTATAACTGGCAAAATATCCAAAATATTGTGATAAGTATACAGTATCATTCATATACTTATCAGCAAGGCAATCTATACTTCTCATTATATAATAATATCCCCATGATGTATATATATATATATATATGTTTGGGTAAATTATAAGGACCTCACTGTCCTCCCGAACCCTGGAATAATGGTTCGTAAGGGGAATTATCCCAATATGTTTTTTTCCGATGAGTGAATTATTATAATCTGCCAATATATACATATACTCTCTGGTAAATTAACATAGACCCTAAAAATCACCAATTTATAGTGGAAACTAGTCTTTCAACCCCGATGACTGCCAGGGTCGAACTGTTAATTTACCAGAGGGTATAATTTGCCAATATATATATATACAGAGTATTAATATGTCCATACTACAAATTAGATGGGATCATAAGAGATTAACTCATATACAGTATATATGTATACTACTTTGAAGGGGATTATAACTCACATATATGTATCTATATATATATATATACATATAATATGTTTATATCTCATATATTAACTCATACAATATATGTAGATTATATCTCACAGATTATATCTATATACATATGCCTTATCTCTACTGCTTCCCGAATCCACTGAGTTCGGTGCAGGTACCACATTGACTGCGCCGAGCGCATCGGCGTGGCCGACGGCGAGGCGACGAACCGCATCCAGGCGACCGTCCCGGACCGAAGCGTTGCTAAGCCACGAAAAATGGTGGGTTTGTAAAACCTAAGGAAAATGATGGAGAAATGGTGGGTTTCTTAAACCTCTAGTTACTATAGTTCATAAATTTTTAATGAAGAAATTTGTTTTCTTAAGATAGAACTCTCAATTGAAGGAAAAATTGTGGATTTTCAGAAACCTAAACTGAACCCAAAATGTTTTTCAAAGATAACCCAAGGAAAATGATACAGAATGGGGCCCCCAAGATAGCGTTCAGTTGGTTTATAAGTGGCTTAACACTGGTTTATGGTAGATATTTCACACTAGTTAATGGGGATTATTTTATGGTTTATAAACCAACTTATTCACATCACTGGGTGGCCCCATCCTGTAGGAAAACAACTTTGAACACCGAAAAATGGTGGGGTAGAAATTGCCGAAACATTTTCCGTTCGAGGTAAAATCCAGAGGTAAAACACCGTTTTTTCATGTTTGTCACACCATATTAGGTGTGTTGGTTATGCATCATATCAATATTTTATATATCTACATGTTTATATGTATATATGATTGTATATATGATTATACAATCATCAGATTATATGTGTATATATATACATACATGTATATATATAATATATATATATACATATGTATCGATGTTATCATCTGGCAAAAACACGTGGCAGTAGAACGTCTACAATTCATTTACGATTATAACGTTTGGAAGTTTTTTTTTCCATGGCGAGGTCAGATTTTCTCGAGGCTATGGGAACTTTAAGACACTGAAGAACAAAGCGATCGAGTTGCATGTGGGTCAAACAATACCATAAACCATCATGGGTATCATTGTTTTTGGTAATGTTTACCCACATAAACATACCAAATCAGCATTTTTATAGGTGGTATAAACCATTCTCAAATGGTTGGTTTATGGCATTGTCTCACCCACATTATATAGTAATAAAATCAAATCATTTCTCCAAAAAATGAGATGTTCGATCGCATTTATTTGTGACCATGAATCAATATTTAGGGGTTGGTAAATGTCAACCTTTTTGGGATTTTGAACACCACCAACATATGTATCTAGTGGAGATGATATCCTCAATAGTTAGTTGGTTGATGTTCATTTGGGACATTAATACTAAAATACCTGGTTGGTGGTTTGCAACATTTTTTATTTTCCATATATTGGGAATAGTAACCCCAATTGACTTTCATATTTTTCAAAGGGGTTGAATCAAACCACCAACCAGATACTAATCCCCAATAAACCCATCCCCATTGTTCCATTGTTGTTAACTTATTATAGTGGACATTAATACTATAGCTAAAATACTAAAGCCCAATAAACCCATTATTGACCATTATTAACCATTATAAACCATGATAAACCATTGTAACCCATTATAAACCATCATCTATAAACCCATTATAAACCATTATAAACCATCATCTATAAACCCTTTATAAACCCATTATTAACCATTATTAACCATTATTAACCATTATTAAGCATTATAAACCCATTATTAACCCATTATTATTCCATTCTTTCCCATGATTTTCCCTATGATTTCCCATGAAATATGGATGATCTCCCCAAAGCACGGTGCCGCCAGCACAAACCGATGTCGACCTCACCAGCTCAAGCCATGATGGATGAGGGCCTGGAGGCCGGATGACATGGAACCAGTGATGTATTAATCACCCTCTGGTAAACATACACTAAGCTATTGAAAATGGCCCATTTATAGTTGATTTACCTATTAAAGATGGTGATTTTCCATAGCAAACTGTTAGTTTACCAGAGGGTATATGTCCATGAAATGACCATTAAAAATATGGAAAAATATGGAACATATATGGAAAATATATGGAACTATATTACCGAATGGTAATTTCATGGGAAATAAATGGAAACTATGGTGATTTAGTGGAAAAATATGGAAAACTATGGGAAATATATGGTGTGGTAATACATATTGTATAGATTGGTGGTATACAGTAATTCAATTGGAAAGTGTATAGATTATTCTCCTATAGGATGATTTCCTTTTATCAACATCCTCCAATTATAATCTGATTGCTGGTTTGGAACATGACTTTTATGACTTTCCATTCAGTTGGGAATGGGAAATCATCCCAACTGACTTGAAGTCCATCATTTTTCAGAGGGGTAGGCTCAACCACCAACTAGTGATATAATGAAAAAAAAACGGGGAATGTCACGGGATATAACGGGTGCCACGAATCGGCTTTTGTAAACTTTCATCCATGAAGCCATACGGTGGATGGGCCAGCGAAATCCTGCACTAGTTGAGGGGTGTGATTTATCCATGTTTATCCCACTTTTTGGGGTTTCAACCATCCTGGTGTTGGTGCAGGATTTCGCTGGCCCACCGTATTTCGATTCGTCATTAATCGTTAAATATACAATAGAAGCCATATAGTTTATACACTCTAGAATACCCATGTAGAATATAAAACATCTAGAAGCCATGTAGGTATCTTTTAGTTTATAACTTATATATATAGATATATTCTAGAATATCCCATATTTCATCCCACATAATCTTGTGGGGATATTCTAGATTTTTTGTTGGGGGTTTCTGACCCATGTACTAAGTGGGGCCTCCAAAGTTGGGAGAAAAAACCATGACAGGTGAGGAGTTTCATGGCGATTTCGGGCAAAATGTTGTGATTTTTGGGAAAAATGAAGGTTTTAATGGGAATATTTCTGGGAAAGAACTATGGTTTTACTATGGTGATTTATGGGAAATGACTGTGATGTATGAAAGATACCTTCTGGTGATGGTTATGTGAGTTCGTTTACCAGAGGTTTTTTTGGATTCCTAGAGTCGAATTAGATTTTCCCAATGGAAATCCACGATGTTTGGGGAATCGATGCTAAAGGACGACTGCTTTTTTTTTTTTGACTTTTTTGGGAGGTCCTGAGAAAAAAGCAACTCCAAGAATATTGATCTGGGAGATGAAAGAGGAATTTCACTAGCTCTACCCTCGAATTTTTATACAATATAGCTATTAAAATTGCCCTTTAGTTCGTTGATTTATCCATTAGAAGTGGGGATTTTCCATAGCAGACTGTTAGTTCACCAGAGGGTATAATCTATAATCCCAAAGCAAGATGAAATATGGTGGGTTGAAACATCCACAATGATCCAAAATGGGCTTCAACATGGTTTAATCGGTTTAATCCTCCTTAAATGAGGATTAGTACGGCAAATATGAGATATATTTGGAACTGAATTGAGAAACTGGTTGGTGGTTTGGAACATGACTTTATTTTCCCATATATTGGGAACGGAAAATCATCCCAACTGACTTTCACTCCATCATTTTTCAGAGGGGTAGGAAGTGTTCAGCCAATCCCAATTGGTTGATACACTTAAACTGTAGGGATGACACAAACTCATGCGACATGTTTTTTTCCCATCGCATTTTTTCTTTTTTAAACACCAACATTTGATGGATATTATATAATAATATAACGCACATGTATTACTGTATTACAAATATATACATGCGCATTTTTGTTGTTTCAATATTCTGATGCGGCCATACCTATGGAATCCTTTCGAATCATTCTTTTGCATTTTTTTGAAAAAACGTATGACGTATGTCACAATGTGAGGCCCCCAAGATAGACAAGTAAGTTTATAACTTCAATAACTATGGTTTATGGTATTTATAACGAACTAGTTGCTGGGGCGAATCAACAAACCAACATTCACATATCTTGGGGGCCTCACGTATGGCAGGTATATCCCTATCCCGTTGAGCACCCAGCCTCCGCCAGGTGACCGAGAATTTTTTGCCCGAGGGACCTGTGACTATCGGCATCACCTCTGGCGCGTGGAAGCCTCGAAGTCCGAGAGTTCGTCCGAGAGTTTGTCCCAGTTGCTGGTTCCGGGAAACTCCGGGGAAGATGGACCATAAATGATTTATAGATGATATAGCTATTATATATATATTAATACATGGTATTCATAGATGTTTTATCTATTATAATTCCATGATATATATATATATATATCATAAAGTAGGGATGTTCCATAGCTATTTTAGTTTACCAGGGGGTATTTGGGTAGAAAATTGTTATGTCTATTTGATGTTGGCTGCAGGGAAAGCACCATGCCCGTGCCGTTGATGTTTCTTGTCGACGGTGCGTTCGTTGATGGAAAGATTTTCTGCGAATACATCATCTTTGAATTATTGGAGTAGTTTGTACATTGTTTCATCTGAACTTTCTTCAGTTATCTTATAATATTTGACACATTTGAACATATCTAACTCCAGGTTGTTTGCATTTCAGCCGGTGCTGCGATGGAGGTGTGTTTCCTGTCAGGTGTATCTCTGGCCCTTGCCCTGGAGGAATTCGAAGGAAAAACTGCAAAGGCTGTGAAGCAAGCCTTGGCAGTTCAGATTGGTGTTTCCAGATTCAGGCAACGACTCTTCTCCGAACTTGGTCCTGAGGTCCTGGATGATGAGGTTTTTGCTTCCGCTCCAGTGAAGCTTCAGATGGTGGTCCTGGATTTTCATCCAGCTGACCAACGAAACCAACAAGTGATCTCTGCATCTACCGACAATGATTTGATCGCGCTGGAAAAGATCCTCAGTAGCCCTGCCAATCCCAATCTTACAGATGAACATGGCAAAACACCATTGCACTGTGCTGCCAGGAACGGACATGTTGAAAGCATGTCGCTGTTGCTTGAGGCGGGTGCTGACAAAGATCAAGCCAACAATCAGGGTGCAACACCCTTGTACATTGCAGCTCAGAAGGGCCATCTTGATGTTGTCCGTCATTTGGTGGAAGTTGGTGCTGACAAAGATCAAGCCCAAAATCTGGGTGCAACACCCTTGTTCATTGCAGCTCTGAAGGGCCACCTTGACGTTGTGCGTTATTTGGTCGAAGTTGGTGCGGATAGAGATGAAGCTGCGAGTTGCGGTAGAACGCCCTTGTACATTGCAGCTCTGAAGGGCCACCTTGACGTTGTGCGTTATTTGGTCGAAGTTGGTGCGGACAGAGATCAAGCTGCCAGTTGCGATACAACGCCCTTGTACATTGCAGCTGAGAACGGCCACCTTGATATTGTCCGTCATTTGGTGGAAGTTGGTGCTGACAAAGATCAAGCCAACATTCAGGGTGCAACACCCTTGTACATTGCAGCTCAGAAGGGCCATCTTGATGTTGTCCGTCATTTGGTGGAAGTTGGTGCTGACAAAGATCAAGCCCCAAATCTGGGTGCAACACCCTTGTTCATTGCAGCTCAGAAGGGCCACCTTGACGTTGTGCGTTATTTGGTCGAAGTTGGTGCGGACAAAGATCAAGCCGCCAATAGTAGCGGTGCAACGCCCTTGTACATTGCAGCTGAGAACGGCCACCTTGACGTTGTGCGTTATTTGGTCGAAGTTGGTGCTGACAAAGATCAAGCCAACATTCAGGGTGCAACACCCTTGTACATTGCAGCTCAGAAGGGCCATCTTGATGTTGTCCGTCATTTGGTGGAAGTTGGTGCTGACAAAGATCAAGCTACCAGTAGCGGTACAACACCCTTGTACATTGCAGCTGAGAAGGGCCATCTTGATGTTGTCCGTCATTTGGTGGAAGTTGGTGCTGACAAAGATAAAGCCCAAAATCAGGGTGCAACACCCTTGTACATTGCAGCTGAGAAGGGCCATCTTGATGTTGTCCGTCATTTGGTGGAAGTTGGTGCTTTCAAAGATCAAGCCAACAATCAGGGTGCAACACCCTTGTACATTGCAGCTGAGAACGGCGATCTTGATGTTGTCCGTCATTTGGTGGAAGTTGGTGCTTGCAAAGATCAAGCCAACAATCAGGGTGCAACACCCTTGTACATTGCAGCTGAGAACGGCCATCTTGATGTTGTCCGTCATTTGGTGGAAGTTGGTGCTGACAAAGATCAAGCCAGCAATCAGCGTGCAACACCCTTGTTCATTGCAGCTCTGAACGGCCACCTTGATGTTGTCCGTCATTTGGTGGAAGTTGGTGCTGACAAAGATCAAGCCGCCAATAGTAGCGGTGCAACGCCCTTGTACATTGCAGCTGAGAACGGCCACCTTGACGTTGTGCGTTATTTGGTCGAAGTTGGTGCTGACAAAGATCAAGCCAACATTCAGGGTGCAACACCCTTGTACATTGCAGCTCAGAAGGGCCATCTTGATGTTGTCCGTCATTTGGTGGAAGTTGGTGCTGACAAAGATCAAGCCACCAATCAGGGTGCAACACCCTTGTACATTGCAGCTGAGAACGGCGATCTTGATGTTGTCCGTCATTTGGTGGAAGTTGGTGCTTTCAAAGATCAAGCCAACAATCAGGGTGCAACACCCTTGTACATTGCAGCTGAGAACGGCCATCTTGATATTGTCCGTCATTTGGTGGAAGTTGGTGCTTTCAAAGATCAAGCCAACAATCAGGGTGCAACACCCTTGTACATTGCAGCTGAGAACCGCGATCTTGATGTTGTCCGTCATTTGGTGGAAGTTGGTGCTTGCAAAGATCAAGCCAACAATCAGGGTGCAACACCCTTGTACATTGCAGCTGAGAGCGGCCATCTTGATGTTGTCCGTCATTTGGTGGAAGTTGGTGCTGACAAAGATCAAGCCGCCAATAGTAGCGGTGCAACGCCCTTGTACATTGCAGCTGAGAACGGCCACCTTGACGTTGTGCGTTATTTGGTCGAAGTTGGTGCTGACAAAGATCAAGCCAACATTCAGGGTGCAACACCCTTGTACATTGCAGCTCAGAAGGGCCATCTTGATGTTGTCCGTCATTTGGTGGAAGTTGGTGCTGACAAAGATCAAGCCGCCAAGAGTAGGGGTACAACACCCTTGTACATTGCAACTCTGAAGGGCCACCTTGACGTTGTGCGTTATTTGGTCGAAGTTTGTGCTGACAAAGATCACGCCGCCAATAGTAGCGGTGCAACACCCTTGTACATTGCAGCTGAGAAGGGCCATCTTCTTGATGTCCGTCATTTGGTGGAAGTTGGTGCTGACAAAGATAAAGCCCAAAATCAGGGTGCAACACCCTTGTTCATTGCAGCTCAGAAGGGCCATCTTGATGTTGTCCGTCATTTGGTGGAAGTTGGTGCTGACAAAGATCAAGCCGCCAATAGTAGCGGTGCAACACCCTTGTACATTGCAGCTGAGAAGGGCCATCTTGATGTTGTCCGTCTTTTGTTGGAAGTTGGTGCTGACAATGATCAAGCCGACAAACAGGGTGCAACACCCTTGTTCATTGCAGCTCAGAAGGGCCATCTTGATGTTGTCCGTCATTTGGTGGAAGTTGGTGCTGAAGAAGATCAAACCCAAAATCAGGGTGCAACACCCTTGTTCATTGCAGCTCGGAAGGGCCATCTTGATGTTGTCCGTCATTTGGTGGAAGTTGGTGCTGACAAAGATCAAGCTACCAGTAGCGGTACAACACCCTTGTACATTGCAGCTGAGAAGGGCCATCTTGATGTTGTCCGTCATTTGGTGGAAGTTGGTGCTGACAAAGATAAAGCCCAAAATCAGGGTGCAACACCCTTGTTCATTGCAACTCTGAAGGGCCATCTTGATGTTGTCCGTCATTTGGTGGAAGTTGGTGCTGACAAAGATCAAGCTACCAGTGGCGGTACAACACCCTTGTTCATTGCAGCTCAGAAGGGCCATCTTGATGTTGTCCGTTTTTTGTTGGAAGTTGGTGCTGACAATGATCAAGCCAACAATCAGGGTGCAACACCCTTGTACATTGCAGCTCAGAAGGGCCATCTTGATGTTGTCCGTCATTTGGTGGAAGTTGGTGCTGACAAAGATTAGAACGGCAAGGTGAGCCCCTTACATAGCAGATTTGTATGGTGTAATGGGGAGAATAGTGGGAGAATATTGATGGGATAATAATGGGATAATGACATGCGATACTATTTGACCATCAACAGATGTGGGTGTTACCAAGACACAGGATTTATATAATCAATTATTATGTAAGTGACGGGTGAAATGCACATCGCAGTCAACTGATAGTGTTAAATGTCCATTTAGCCTTTAACATGCTCGGATATTTAAGGGATTTTAGCCAGATAAATGGCTTCACATGGTTTCACCATCATTTGATGTGGATTCAACCGACACGAAATCGGATTTGAAGGAGGCGGGGATCTGACCAACAAAATACGGGGGATTATGTGGTAAACCCAACTTCTTAAAGACGCTTCCATCTAGGTCAGGCGACTGATGCTTGGTGAATGGTGAATGCTGGAAGACAATAAACTCCACCCACTGGGTATACCTTGGTGAGTAGTTGATGAATTAGTGAATGACTTACTCTTCACCATTTGGGATGGTTTTTACCAACCACTTCCATTGGGATGGTGGACACAGACTGACGGGGCTGATTGGAGGGTTTTCGTCCAGCACCATTTTACAGGTCAACAATTGTGACCTAAAGAAGCACAAAAAATGTCTTCATTGTATTCCTTTCCTTTTGCCAAGGTTTTGATTCTTGTACCCTCTGGTAAACTAACATTGTAAACTAACATAGCTATTGAAAATGGCCCATTTATAGTTGATTTACCTCTTAAAAATTGTGATTTCCCATAGTTATGTTATTTTACCAGAGGGTATGAACAATGACATCAACAAATTGCATTTGAACAGAGGATTACTGTCACTGGATGAAGTCATTTGATCAATTTTTTTTCTGGAGTTGAAATCCAGCAATGGTTTCATCAGCATCGCACCGAGGGCAATGGCAATGGCCAGAGATTTCATGGGGGTACCCCTAAATCATCCCCGATTTATCCATTTTTGTGTTTTTTTTCAGCCAATAAACCATTTATTGGGGATTTTCCATGATGTTCCATGTTTTTTTTCGGATTTTCCATGAAATCAACCGTCCAGCGGGGCTTCTATCCCATGATTTTTTCGGACACCGGGCCGAGGTCCACACCCGATAACATCTTCGGAGATACGTTGAAGCCTGGCAGCCCAACGCCGGAGCTCGCTGCTGATGGCTTTGTTGTTTTTTTTGACGCCATGAACTTTTTCGTCAAATTGTGGGTTATTATAGTTATAAACCATTTTTTTTTACATCACTGGTGATTTATAATAACTAGGGCATCTATGGTTTAAGAACTATGGTATCTTATTGGGGCTTTATAAAGCTAATAGTTATGGGGCTTAAGATATCGATGGTTATTGTAGCTAATAGTTATAAGTTATAACTAACTAGTTATAACCACCATAAACCATAGTCATTATGATTTTTAAACCATCATAAACCATAGCGAATGGTTATAACCACTATAAACCATAGTTATTATGAACAACTTAGCTACCGTTTGAAGGCCTCACCAAACATACCCTCCGTCATCAGACGTGGTCGGCTGGGTTGGCTGGGAAATCCCGTGCTTGGCGGAGGTCTCAATGTCTGGTTCGCTGGGAAAATCCACTTACTGCGATGAACATGAAAGTGACTAATGGAATTTAATCGCAGTCCATTAATCACCATGAAATTCCAGAAAAGTCACTGTTTTTGCTGGTGAAGTCACCGTTTTCCCTGGCTAAATCCCCATTTCTGTTGGTTAAAATCCTATAAACATCACCCAACAAAAAATCCCATCAAAATCACCAATGAATTCCATAAAAGTCCCTATATCATCACCATTTAATAGTGACTAATGGAATTTAATCATAAATATAGATGGTGACTAATATTGATGATATTTATGGGATGATATAGTGACTTTTAATTATGGATTATCATCACCATTTATATCATCACCATTAGATTCCATAAAAGTCACTACATAGTGGTGCCCCAGTTCGATAGCTAAGTTGGTGAACATAACTACAATTTTTGTAGGACTCTCCTGGTAGATATATCGAACTAGTTGATGGGGTTATAAACTAACTTATAACTGGGGGGTACCACATTGCAGGATCTTTTTCAGGATGTACCATCTGGTTATGACTAACATAGGTTATGACGTTCACAGTTTGCCATGGAAAATCACCTTTTTTTTTCTCAGTTCGGTAAAGCATCTATTTCTATGGGCCATTAAAATAATAGGTAAAACATTTTGGGAATGTGTCATAGAATTGGATGATGGGAAAATTTTAACCGGAAAACCCTATATTTGATGGTAAAAACCCATGGGTTTCCGGTTAAGATTTTCCCTTAAATCAATCCAATGAATGTGGCGGACATCTAAGCCAAGTGTTGGTATTCGGGACAGGTTCCATGTTGGAACTGGCTTCGCGGTCTCTCCGCCAAGGCGAGTGCTGGCCGTCAAGGGCCTTGAGGCTTGAGAGGTCCGAGAGGTCCAGGCTGAGAGAGATCCGATCGGCGATGCATGGGGGTTAATCCTCTTCTTTAAACAGTTTGCGAACTGGAAAATCACCATCTTTAGAAGGTAAATCAACTATTTCTATAGGCAACTTTAGGAGGTAAATCAACTATTTCTATAGGCAACTTTCAATTTTCTGCTTTAAAAAGGGGTCAAACCCTTGATTTTTTTCCAGCGTCTGCGGCGGACACAAAGGCCGAACTCTGAGATTGCTGGTTCGGTAACTCTGGAGCCGACGAAGATTGAGAAAGTCGTGGCTCTTAAACCGACTCTGCGTTGCCTGAGCAATGCAGAAAAACCAGTCGCGTGGGTTTGTTGAGTTGGAGGCTATTCTGATTACACAGGAAATTATGGATTTCAATACAGGGGGTTTCCATAAATGGGGGTACCCCAAAATGGATGGTTTACAGTGGAAAATCTATCTATAAATGGTTGATTTAGGGGTACCCCCCCATTTATGGAAACCTCCATATGCATACAGTATATAGGTTGCACAATGTGTTGTAAATACCTTCCAGCAAACTTTCCCATTGCCTTCACGTCCATTTCTGAATAATCTTGATTTTCCAAAAATGGGGAGGCTCTTGCTTGGAGCTGCGTCTGATAGGCACACAACCACTACCCTCTGGTAAACTAACATAACTATGGAAAATCACAATTTTTTATGGGAAAATCCACTATTTCTATGGCCATTTTCCAGTTCGCAAACTGTTAGTTTACCAGAGGGTAATTCCATGTTCTTCCAATTCTTGCATAATTCCCTTCATCAATCCCCATGATCCCTGTTTTTTCTTGCAGATAGACTACACGAGTTTCCCAGAATCAGCAAGTCCATTGGATGCTGACAGCGACAGCATGAAAAAACCTGGGCACAGAATGAACTCATGGGTCCCAAGTGGTAGTGGTTTCAAAATATAGGACTTACCCTCTGGTTATGTCAAAATAGCTATTGAAAATGACCATTTATAATGGATTTACCCATTGAAAATGGTGATTTTCCATAGTTATGTGAAAGTTTACCAGAGGGTATGGGGTACCTTTGACTAGTTTTCTGTAGACTGATGATGCACGTTTTATCTGTATTCTTAAGTTTTTTTTTTCCCTCGGTGAAACGTGACGACTTTTATGCGGTTCCTTCATTTTCACCAGATGCGATTCACAAAACATTCTGTTTCCTAGTGGGATTCTCTCTACAATGTTTGACCAATCTGGGTTAATGATCATGGTCAATGATCATTATATAATTCATATTAATCATGGTCATTCTCCCTACAATAGATAGAATCTGGTTGGTGGTTTGGAACATCTTTATTTTTCCATATATTGGGAATAATCATTTCAACTGACGAACTCCATCATTTTTCAGAGGGACAGGTATACCACCAACCAGTAGCATCTGGCTTGTACCTCATTTTTTCAGCGGTAAACATGACACATACTCCACTTTCCATGGGACATCATGGGACTCCGCTACCGTTGTTCAAAAAACAGCTGCGCTGTTGTCGAAAACTTTGCCCCACGTGGCCGTGGCCGCGAAATTTGGGGGAAAGCATGCAGGCCCGGGATGGCTGGGAAAGCTGAGGTCATCCATCAATGCTTTTACCCTCTGGTAAACTAACATAACGATAGAAAATCACCATTTTGAATAGGTAAATCAACTATAAATGGGGTATGTTCAATAGCTATGTTAAATTACCAGAGGGTACCAGCTTTCCCAAGAGTTTTCTCTATCACCATATGCATGTAATACCAGAACCCGATGACATGTAAAGATAGACATTGAATCCATCGGTGCTTGAAATATCTTGGACATGTCCAAGCACCAAGATTCAAGATATTTCACATATTTTCATACGGCTTTGTCTGAACATAGTGTGCCCGTAAATGCATTGGTTTATCATCACTTCCCCATTGCTATTCATTAACATAGCAATTTGGGGCTATTTGCCATTTTCAGACACGCCCATGTTATATAATTAGATGCATTATTATTCCACAATAATCCCATTAGAATCGTATTATAGTTCCATTGTCATCCCATTATACTATTCATATTAAAATATATTAAATGATTATAACGATGGGTATAATATTGACTCATGGGAATCATTATCGCACAAAAGAATATTTATACAATAATGATGAAACAAGTTGTATATTCATTATCATATTGAAGCATTTATATAAGATGGAAACCCAATATGATTTCGAAAGTTTCTGGCGATTTTCTGGCGATTGAAACGTCCCTTGCCACGCCACGATGAACACCGCCAGCTGGACATGCCGACGCTGCCCTTGCCGCATTCCTTGCAGCCTTCTCCGGTGTCGCAGCACCGCCAGGTGGAGTCCCCAAGCCGGTGAAACGGTGAAAGAACGGTGATTTTAAGCACCCAAGGCTACAGTCAGGTGAGTCATGTGAATGGAAGATTTTACATGTTTTTTTTCCTGGCTGAAATGGCGGTTTTTTATATGGTTTAAGCATGGGGTTGGAGCCAACCATGGGTATTTCTGGGTATTTCATGGTATTTCATTGGGTTGATTCAAGTTGATTCAGGGGATTTCTTGCCACTTGTACAGCTGTACAGCCTCAAGCACTATGTATCTTACCATAGGAATGATGGCCGGACGTCCGCTTTTGGCCAAGATTACGTTGCAGTTGGATGGGGTTTAAATATTTGAACTTACATGGAACAGTAGATTTAGGATACTGTGTAGTTAGAACATCTTCTCAGACAGCAGTTGAAAACAACGCCTTGACTATTTTACTACTGGTTGGTGGTTTGGAACATGTTTTATTTTCCATAATATTACTATATTAATATATGGGATGTCATCCTTCCCATTGACGAACTCCATCATTTTTCAAGATGGGTACCGGGTCAACCACCAACCAGTATAAGTTGGTTTATAATCCCATTAACTAGTTATATTTACCATAAGTCCTAGTGATTAGAGTTATGTGCACCAACGGTTCACGCTCTCAAGATGGTTAAGTCACCACCAACCAGACTACCCTCTGGTAATTTGTTACATAGCTATTGAAAATGGCCATAGAAATAGTGAGTTTTCCCATTAAAAATGGTGATTTTCCATAGTCATGTTAGTTTACCAGAGGTTATATCCCATTAAATCCCATTAAATCCCATTAAACCACCTTTTTCCTATGGTTTTCCTATGGTTTTCCTATGGTTTTCCTATGGTTTACCAGGCCGGGTATTTTAAGTGGAGGCAACGACGGCAACCGAACGACCGAGGTGAGTTCGGCTCCACAAACAGCATCCTTGACGCCCTCGGTACCCTGCGTCTCTTGGTGGTGGAGACCATAGAAATGGGAGTGAGACCTCGGTACCCTCTGGTAAAACCAGAGGAAAACCATAGGAAAACTATAGGAAAACCCATAGGAAAACCATAGGAAAATGGTGGTTTAATGGGATTTGATGGGATTTAATGGGGATACCCTCTGGTAAACAAACAGTTTGCGAACTGGAAAATGGTGATTTATGGTGGATTTACCCAGCTATAAAATGGTGATTCTCCATAGTTATGTGAGTTCGTTTATCAGAGGGTATAGATTTTCCCATTACATTTCCATCATATATCCCATTATATATCCCATTATATATCCCATTAAATCCCAATAAACCACTATATTCCATAGCTATTAAATCCCATTAAATCCCATTAAACCACCATTTTCCTATGGTTTTCCTATGGTTTTCCTATGGTTTTCCTATGGTTTTCCATAGCTAAATGGCAGTTTTTAAATGTTTTCAATGGGGAACATTTTTTGGTTTAAACCATGGGATTTTGGGGAATTTACATCATGTTTTCAGACAAGGCTTTCAGACAAAGCCACATGTTTAGGGTGGGAAAACCATAGGAAAACCATAGGAAAACCATTGGAAAACCATAGGAAAATGATGGTTTAATGGGATTTAATGGGATATACCCTCTGGTTATGACTGACAGTTCGCCATGGTATAGATGGCCCTAATCGAAATAGATGGTTTACCATGGTTTACCAAACTTAAACATGGTGATTTTCCATGGCAAACTGTTAGTCATAACCAGATGGTAACTACAGTTATATCATTAAATTATATCAGTTATCTATATCATAAACCCATAGTTTCCCATGGGTTCCACACACGTTCCCGTGCTTGAAAACGCTTCGATCCAAAAAAATACGGCCAGACATCGAATCGGTGAATCATAGGAACACCACTTAAGTGTTAGACAACTTGGACCAACTTAAACATTTGTGAGATTGGTACCCTCTGGTAATTAAACATAGCTATTGAAAATCACCATTTTCAATGGGTAAATCCACTATTTCTATGGCCATTTTCAATAGCTATGTTAAATTACCAGAGGGTACCTATTAGCACCTTCTAGTCATGATTAAATCCCATTTTGAGATCCCATTTGTTCATGGTGAATTTCCATTCACAGTTTAAAAAAGATACCATGTGTAATGATTTACCCTGCATGAAAAACTGGTTGGTTGGGTAGGTGGCTCCCTGTTTCTAAATATAATTATCCCATATGATTCCCATTATATTCCAACATCATAATAAAAGTATGGGTATCCAACCAGTAAATAATGAGAACCAACCAGTATTCCAACCAGTATATTCCCTATTTATAAACAAAAAATCCAACTTACCAACCTATACCATATTATTTCCAATATATTCCAACATATTCCAAGCAACCAGTGGTGAGTTGTTGTAAGTTACAGCCGATGGGATTTTGCCCACACCGCCCAGTTATCGAGCCAACTGTGGGGGCCTAAGAGGCACCGGTGCACTGGTGGTGACGATCAGATTTCAACCCCTGGATTACCATTTGATGATGATTTATGGGAAATGTATGGGACATGTATGGGAAATATACATGGGATTTTTATGATGGTTTATGGGAAATACCGATTAATGATTAATCGACCAGAAACGGCTGTTTAATTGGGGTGGTACCAGTTACCCTCTGGCAAACTAACAGTTTGCGAAGTGGAAAATCACCATTTTGAATGGGTAAATCCACTATAGATAGGCCATGTTCAATAGCCATGTTGAATTACCAGAGGGTAATCAATTTAAGTATCATACAAGGTGGTGCCACCCCAGTTATAAGTTGGTTTATAAACCATAGTAACTATATGTTATATGTAACATCTACCATAAACCATAGTGAAATTGGAGTTATGTGAACCCCAACTTAGCGATTTAGCTCACTGGGGCACCACCAACCGTATGATCACTACTTGGGGTATATCGCATCCTAATAAACCTCTTGGTCTTTTGTCAACCGGGGTTGACGTTCGATTTCAATGATCCAAGGGATCCAAGGTCAGCACAGTCGCAGGTGGTTACTGTTTATCACCCTGAGGTTGGCGCCCTTCAATGATGAGAACTGGCCCAATTCCAGGATGCAGAACGGTGCCCAAGTTGAGAGCTAGCGCTCTATCGCTGGTTGATGACGAGTTTTTTAGCATCCTGCAGGATGGGGAATTTTGTTACGCTTGGATAGCGTGAACCGTTGCCTGAAAAAAGTGGCTGAATTCTATGGTTTATGGTAGATACAAATCTAGATAACTATAGTTAATGGGGTTTATAAACCAACTTAGAACTGGGGGGAACTCCCCGGTAATCCATGAACTGTATGGCATGGGAGATGACACAGTTGAAGTTGAGATGAACATATTAGATGTTCTGAATGCGCAGTGACGGCCAGGGGTGAGTTTTGAGCTGAAGTGAGCCATCAAAAATGCACTGATGGTCAATACAGGGAGTTATACATTGATGTTTATTGGGGATTATGATAACCCATAGTAGCCAAACCTATCAACCAGCTAGTATCATGAAATTGGTATTGTTAATGGCTCACGTGAGGAAGTGATCCTCTTCCAATAAGAAATTGCACGTCTAGGATATCCCCGCAAAAACCACAGTTTTTGAGGCTTTTCATATCGCACCCAGGGGTCAACATTTCGTATACCCCAGGGGTTGGCAAATATCCTGTTGAAGGAGTCTAAAAACCACCTTCAGATGATAGTATATATTTATATGCATTATATTATATATTTATACTGTATGAGCATATGTAACTAGGTGTGTTACTTGCATGCGTATCTACACACGCTCAGTACATCTGTCTCTAAATCTACACCTTACATCCTACATCTGTCATATCCTTTAACTTATATCATACAGATCTTATCCTATCTCTACATTTGTAATATCTACATATCAATATAGAGATACCTCTTTTCCCATTACAGCCACAACCAAGGCCCCGCCAGCCAAAGCAGCAGTTCCGTAACCCAGAGGAGCGCGGCGACCTTTGATGATTTTGATGCTATCACCAGCTTAGCAGCTCAGCATATCATTAAAAAATATAAACATATATATATATGTATATATATCACCAGGCTAGCTGACTCATCAAAATCAGCTTATGAAAAATCTGGAAAATCCACCATGAAATTTCCAGATTTCACCTGGATTTTCATGTTCGTCAATTTTTTTCGGAACATCTCTGAAAAATCTATCCAAATCCAGGTGTCTTGTCAACAAATGGCTACAATGTGAGGCCCCCAAGATATAAGTTGGTTTAGATTCGCCCCAGTAACTAGTTCGTTATAAATACCATAAACCATAGTGAAATTGGAGTTATGTTCACCAACTTAGTTATCTTGGGGGCCTCACATTGTAGGAAACATGGTGGTTGAACTAACAAACATTAGGAGATTTGACATGTGGTTGATGGTGTTTGCCGGTGATGTTAGTTGGTTGTTAAACCTCATCTAAATATAGTTCTTGCGTATCATACACTATAGTATCATAAATATTCCCCATCTAACCAAAAAGTATATTCCCCATTTAACTATAGTATCTAACTATATCTCCCATAAGCCTGGATTTTGACTTTCGTCGGCGCTGAATCCAGGTGTTTTTGACAAACAAATCCATCAGGAGGTGCTGACGCGGATCGATATGAACGAACCGCAATACTTCGACGGAGCTGGGGCCCCCGGAAAACCAAATCATCCATTTTCATAGGAAAACCATAGGAAAACCATAGGAAAGCCATAGGAAAACCATAGGAAAACCATAGGAAAATGATGGTTTAATGGGATTCAATGGGATTTAATGGGATATACCCTCTGGTTATGACTAACATAGCCATGGAAAACCCCTGAAATAAATGGAGGTTTCTAGCTGGGAAAATCATCTATTTCTATGGGCCATTTTCCATGGCTATGTTAAATAACCAGAGGGTAACTAAATATAAGAAATATATAGTTACAGATATTATCCTGATATATAACTTATATACCTGGAAAGCCGTTTGAACAAATTTTTTTGTTCATTATGGGAAAATCTGGTCGAATACACCTTTTAATGATCAATGAACAATTTTACCCGTAATGACCAGATAATTTGGTCAATTCACGATATTGCTATTGGAGGTGCGCCCGATCCTTGCATCCAAGGCTCACAGCATGGATGTGAATGATGTGAAATAAAAAAGGGGAAGATGCATGTGACCATGCACCCCAAATCGAGAATGGAAGAAATATATGATGGGTGCCATAGAATATATTATGTGGCATAGACTATATATTATAGATTCCCAACAGGGTCTCTTGAAATATGTGCATAGAAACCATGCGTCCTGATTGGGATGATTGCATCGCTGCTGAGCACGTTGAGGCCCGCTCTGATTACGTGGGGGGGGGCATCGAAAAACGAAATAAGTTTGATTTGATTTCTTGCCATGAATTCTATCTTGCAAGTACAGTTGGCTTTTGCTGGAAGCTTTTGGGCGTTCCCTTCAGAGCAAACCGGCTCAAACAAAAAAAAACGTTTTGCTGCCTTGCTATGGCGAACCTTTATGGTGTTGCTAAGCATTGGTGGATGGAGCCTTCCATCCAAGAGAGGGTGAAAGAGGGCGGCATTGGTGCCATTGTTGTAACCAACAATACCCAGCCCCTTGCATCCAAAGATGTACGTCATGCCTTGTGGAACAGAGAAGTCTTGATCCCAATCATGGAGAATATGCGATACCACCACCTGATCAAGACACCTGATATGGGGACGATTCAAGACCAAGTTTGGATTCTCCAGCTGCTGTCTACCAAGCAGGGATTTGATGCCCACAACCTTCCTCCAATCCCTGAAGAGTTGGAAGTGCCGGTTCATTTGTCGGTGATTAGCATTAAGAAGCTGGTGTCATATGTGCGAGCCAAGTACATTCGTCCTCACATGCCACGGGACAAGGGTTCCTTTCTTCATGCATGTTTCCATTTTTTATGTGATTATCAATCATGCAGTTCAAATCAGATCATAATTTCCAGGTCTCTCCCGGAACCACAGTATGTATTTTCTTCCATTCCAATTTGCATATGGTGGATGGAAGAAATCCTGCACCTGCACCGCTTCGTGCCCATGTATAGTGGTAACACTTATAACTATAACTGCAATGGGACTATATTGGATAAACCATCTATCATCCGGTGCAAGATTTCTTCCATCCACAATATGGTTCAGATCCCTTGGATCATATATGCCCCATAGCTACCCCTGGAGGACGCAGACTTCAGAGAGCTCTTGACCCACTTTGGCGAGTTGGAGCCTTTTTTGCACCCGGCACATTGTCCATGGTTCATAGGGCCAGCACACTTTCAAATGGTAAAGGTGAAACCGGTGAAACCAATGAATTTGACTGCAGGCTGAGGTTGATATATAGATTTTATGGGAATCATTTCAATATATTTGGAACCCTACATTACATGCATGTATACAGTTGTTGCAATATGTTGGAGTGTTTGCTATCAATTCCCACCGGCCTTGGCCGCGCAACTCCGCCTCTCAGGAACTCTATTTAGACCTCCCCGCGGACAAGTCAGCTCCTGACGACAGCGAGGATGAGAAGGGCGAATCTAAGGAGTGTGATCTACGTGATCGGGTTCGTCAGGTGCCAATTCCTTCACCTACTACAACCCCGGTTGTGCCAGCTCTGGCTGAATCTGTGGGTGGGAACTCGGGTTTGCTTGAGAATGATATGTGGGTTCCAGAAGCCCTTCCTGTTGATGAGCAGGAATGTGTGTTTGGATTGCACAAAAAAATCATGGAGGCCAAGGCCAGGATTGCTGAACTCAAAGGTCAGAATTCCAACAGTACTGGTACTCCCATGGTTTCTCCGAGTGATCCAGTTCCAGAGATAGCGTCACCAGTGGATTCGACTTCATCAAGGGCTGCTGAAATTAGATCCCGGATGGAAAAGTTGCAGTCAGATTTGAAGTTTCTTGTCAGTACCATCGACCAGTTTCCGTCTTTATGAAAACATTGTTCATATGGCCATCCAAGTTGATCAACAGCAATCTTAAGAGGTATAGATGTATTCCCCTGGAACCTTAGGATAGATGTATTCCCCTGGAACCTTTAAAAATTAATATCAAACCTGTGAACCCATCTCTTTCCCAGGTTGGAAGCCAGCACTTCTGTGCCAGCAATGGACTTTGATGAGACTCTCCCGATGGTGCCGGATGAAACTCAGTACTACGCTCCCGATGCTGTGCCCGATGCTGTGCCCGATGCTGGGGTGGATGAAGCTTGGTGCCCCCCCGAAGCCACTCAGGGTGAGGATGAAGGCCCCAAAATCAATGATCCTACTACTGGCAATGGTGATGAAGGTGAGCGCATTCCTGTTCCTTGAACCGGATATAGGTTGATGTCTCTACCACTTCAACCGAACTTCAAGTGTTTCTGTTTTAGATGTTTTTTTTTCAGGGGAAAAGTTCAATATGTGGGTTCTCAGCTGCTCTGTGCGCTCAGGTTGTGGATCGCTTGAAGCAACAGCGGTTGAAGGATGAAAAGAAAGAGGAAAACTCTACGAGGAAAGGAAGGAAGCCTAAGGGAAAGGCAGGAAAGGCAGCCAAGGCAGAAAAGCCAGCAAAGGCACGAAAGGCAGCTAAGGCAGGAAAGGCAGCAAAGGCAGAACCTGAAGCAAACAAGGAGCAATCCAGCAACAGTCCAAAAACCATAGGTAAGAGACTTCGCAGGATGAAGTCACAGGTGCGCATGGTAAGCAATGAACGAGAAGATGGTAAGATCACCCAGAAGGATAAGGCCACACCATCAGCAGCAAAGACAAGGAATCCAAGCAGTGAGACAAAGGCAATCCCAACCACCACTATGAGCAAAGGTAAGGGCAAGGATGAACGCAATGTCAAGGAGGCAGGCAAAACGAAGAAAGTCAAGAAGGGATGCAAGGTCAAGGGATGCAAAACGAAGAAAACGAAGAATGTAAAGAAGGCACAGGGTGAAGAGGAGGCAATGGACCAGGCAGGACATGCAGGCAAAGGAGCAAAGGCAAAAAAAGCAAAGCAGTCGTCCACATGTGCGGAGCCAGCCCCCAAAGCTGGAGAGGACAGCCCACTCGCCTTTCATCTTA